GGCTCCGAGCTGTCAGCACAGAGCCTGACACGGGGCAAAGTCGGACGCTTAACCGACCGAGCCACCCAGGGGCCTCGTCCTGCTTTTTTCTCTTAAGTAAATTATCAAGCATGACTTTTATTCACCTTTATTCTAATTCAGGAGCTTCACTTTTTATTACTTCCGTTACTTACGGTGTGGTCATTCAATTTCCAGAGAAAAATGTGGCTGGGCTGTTTACTCCTTTTTTTTCTTCCTTCCTTTTTGGAAGATAGTTGTTGATTAAGGAATGAACACATGGGTGGTGTCACCAGTGGTGTAAAATAATTGCTCTATTCCGGCCTTGTGTCTAGTTACATGCATGTGTGGTTTTCTGTGATGTAGCAGGCATGTCTGACACAAAAGAAATTAGTGAAAATGTAGACAATGGTCATTTTCTCAACAAAGGAAAACAACTCAAAAGTCAACCTGAGCACCGCAAATTGGAAGCTGGATGGTAGGTTTTAACACTGATCTAACATATTTTTCAGCCTAATTTGAAGACATGGGGTATGGGTTTGGGTTATTTTCTTTTTAAAACATTGTCCTAGCATATGCTTTGCTGGGTAGCACCTGCTTAAAAAAGTATATAAGAGAATTGGTCATGGGTAGGGCAGTGATAAGTCTTATCATAATTTAAAAGTGAGTATCTGGTATCTTTCCGGATTCCATACCTAATTTTTCAAAAAGAGTTTTTGTTTTTAGAGCAGTTTTAGGTTCTCAGCAGAATTGAGAGGAAGGTACAGAGATTTCCCATATTCTTCCGGCCCCCCTCCACCCCCCCCAGTGCTGGCGGCACATGCATAGCTTCCCTAGTTATCAGCGTCCCGTCAGAGTGGCACGGTTGTGACAGTCTATGAGCCTCTAACGATTTTAATCCGTTCTAATAGTTGGGTAGCGGTATCTCACTGTTACTTTACTCTGCATTTCCTTGATGACTTAGCGTGTGGAGCGTCTCTTCATATGCTTATTTGCCATTTCTGTAACTTCTTTGGTGAGGGTTCCGTTGGGTCTCTGGCGCATTTGTAAATGGTTTGTTTATCATTGTTGACTTTTGAGAGCTCTTTGTGTATTTTGGATAACGGTCCTTGCAGACATTTGCTCCCATTCTGTGGCTTGCCTTCTCATTCTCTTGACATTGCCTTTTGCAGGACAGAACTTCTTAGTTTTAACGAAGTCTAGCTTGTCAGTTAGGTCTTTCGTGGAATGTGCCATGGGGGTCGTATCTAAAGAGACATTGCCATACCCATGGTCATCTACATTTTCTCCTCCCTCTTACCTTCCGTGCCTAAATTTGGAAGTAAATTTTTTCACTGACGCCTAACGTACGTTCAGAAAAGTCCACAGATCACAAGTTTACATCTTAGTGAGTTTTTACAAAGTGAGCACTCTGCAGGAACCACTACCAAGAATGAGACATAGAACGTTACTCGTGCTTCACAAGCTTCCCTAGTGTTTTGCCCTCTACCACCCGGAAAAGATGGCTCTGATTCTGACTTCTGTTACGATTGGATAGGTTCGCTTTATTTCTTCTTGAACTTCATAAATATAGCATTATATAATATACATTTTTTTTTATATTTGGCAACTTTTGCTTTTCTTTGTGGAGAGGTTTTTAATCATGCATTTATTTTTTTGAATCGATAAAGAGTATTGAGAGTATTTCGCCTTATGTAAGTTTTGGTAAATTGTTTTTTTCATGACAAATTTGTCCATTTCTTCTAAAACGATACATTTTTGACCTACAGAAAAAATTTAACATCCTTTAGTTATATTTGCAATGTCTGTAGAATCTCTACTGGTATTTTTTTTCTTTTTTCCACTTCTCAGTTTGATAGTTTGATCCTTCTCTTTCTCCTTTTTTTTTTTTTTTAAACCAGTCTTGATGGGGCTTATTAATGTTATTAGTTTTTTTTGAAGAAAAGGATTTGTTAAATTCACTTATTTTACGTCTGCTTTCTATTTAATAGATTTCTTCCCTTTCTTACCCTTTTTTCTCCCGTTTTTGGGGATGAAATGGGGGTTAGTTTGCTTTTTTTAATCCAAATATCTTGAGAGGGATACTTAGATAATTAGTTTCCAGCTTTATTATTATTATTATTATTATTATTATTATTATTAACATAAGTATTTAGGAGTATAAATTTTACTCTAAGCATGGCTTTAATTGTATCCCTAAAATGTTGATATCATAGTTTTAAAAATTTTAAATCAAAATATTTTTAAGATTTCCATTTTTGGAAAAGAATTTGGAAATCTTTTTTGGGGGGGGGGCTCGTTTGTTATTTGGAAATATATTGCTTAAGGTCTAATTATTTGGGGATTTTTCTAATTATCTTTTTGCTGTAATTCCTATGTTAATTCCCAATAGTGGTAGCACTTGGAGAATATGCTTTGTGATTTCACAGTAGTTAAGGAACATCCTCTGTATTATTTGTTGAGCTCAGGATATTGTCACTTTTGGTAAATAAAGGCTCCACGTGGACTTTGAAGAAATGTATTCTACCGTTGTTGGGTACAGTGTTTTAAATATACGTCTTTTTTGATTGTGTTCTCGACACGATCTGTGTCTTCATACCCTTTTTGTGTCCATTTTATCATCTACAGAGATGTGTTTAAAACTCTCCCATTGTTGTGAGGTATGGCACACACACACATATATGCGCGTATATAATTATGTATTCTCCTGTTGTTACCATTGGATTTACTTTATACGTTTTGAGACTGTGTTCTTCAGACCGTACAGATTTTAAATTATTACATCTTCTTTATTAGTGAAATGTTTCAATTGTGTCTATGCCTCTTAAAGTCTAATTTGTCTTTTATTATTGCAGATATACTAGTTTTCTTTTGATTAGCGTTTGCTGCTTACATCTTTTTATATGCTTCTAGGATCGCTTCTGAATACACGTACTGCATTTCTGTTTCTTGAAGGCATCTGAGCGGTGCCTGGGTTGCTCGGTCGGTTAAGTGTCTGACTTTGGCTCGGGTCATGATCTCATGGTTCATGAGTTCAAGCCCTGCATTGGGCTCTGTGCTGACAGCTCAGAGCCTAGAGCCTGCTTCGGTTTCTGTGTCTCCCTCTCTCTCTGCCCCTCCCCTGCTTGCACTCTGTCTCTCTCTCTCTGTCTTTCTCTCTCTCAAAAATAAACATTAAAACAATTTTTTTAAAAAAGCATCTGATATTTTTATTTAGATAATCAATTTTTTGCTTGTTTTGAGTATTTAGCACATTTACATTGATTGTAATTATTGATTTTTCTGTATGGCAATCTATAATATGTCTGTTTTCTTTTTTTCCTTTGTTATTTTTTTCTCCTTTTCTTCCTTTTGGATTAATTACACTTTTAAAGTGACTCCCACGGGGCACTTGGGTGGCTCAGTTGGTTAAGTGTCAGACTCTTGCTTTCGGCTCACTGACAGTGTGGAACTTGCTTGGGATTCTCTGTCTTCCTCCCTCTCTGCCCCTCCCCTGCTCATGCTGTTTTTGTCTCGCTCAAACTTTAAGAAAATAATAGAATGATCCCCTTTTCCCTCTATCCCGGTTAACTTATAAGTGATACATTCTTTTACAAGAAAGTGTCAACTAAATAGCCTGCTCCCTCTTTGTAATTAACAATATGGATTAGCATATTCAAATCTCTAAAAATACTCACATTAAAAAAAAAAGACCCGTTTGACATAATTTAATCCAGTGATTTTCTTTTTTTTTTTTTTAATTTTTTTTTTAACGTTTATTTATTTTTGAGACAGAGAGAGACAGAGCATGAACGGAGGAGGGTCAGAGAGAGGGAGACACAGAATCTGAAACAGGCCCCAGGCTCTGAGCTGTCAGCACAGAGCCTGACGCGGGGCTCGAACTCATGGAGCGAGAGATCATGACCTGAGCTGAAGTCGGCTGCTTAACCAACTGAGCCACCACCCAGGCGCCCCAATCCAGTGATTTTCAAACTTATTTGGGAAATGCTATGGGGAGGTAAATACGGGCTCTCAGAACTCCCACCATCCTTGGCGAGACACCTGTCTAGACGCTTAGTCAAGCTGCATGACCTTTAGATTCTTTCTACAGTAGTTATTTCTTGATAAACTTTGATAAAATGTGTAGAGAATTTGGGGTTATATAATAGGGCAGCCACGAGCCTGGTATTTCCTTATCAGCGCATGGAATTTGAGAATTAGTCTAGGAGACCGTATGGTTAATATTGTTTCAGGAACCTTCCCAGGGACATGCCCCTGGGAAGGTGATAACGCACATGTAGCAGGAAGTTGGTTCAAAGACCTATAAGAAGGACATAGAGTCACGTATCACTTACTCCTCCCAGGGAAAGTCTGTCGTCATTGCAATCCTTGAATGGATGAACTAGGGTTCACCATTTCCCGGTCTGGTCTTTCAATTTAGAGGCTATCTGGTTTTTGATACTGTGAATTTTCAAGTTACAAAGCCCACCTTTAAGAAGATAAACACACTCAGATGCTTTGTCTGCGGTTGTTAGCTAGAAGCTAATTAAGTATTGGAATCCGTGTGCTAAAAGTGAAGCTGTTATCTGAATAGTTAACGTTATACCATTTTCTTGACAATAATTAAGTAGCACGCCTGTGCTCACCCAGAGGAGTGATCAACTCATTAAGACACAGGTTAAAAAGAAGCAATTGTGTCACTCTTCCTGAGTATTTGCATTTGAAATAGGACTATAGAGAAGAGGGTAACACTTCAGTTCAAAGAAACACATCTCTAATGGTAAAGTTTTGATATTGTTATGCTTAATTAAACAGTCTTCCTTTTTTCCTATCCTTTCCGCAGGATGAAAAAAAAAAAAAAAGATGTGTGATGGTAGATAATTAGAAAATAAAGTCTTATGTTAGAAAGAAAGAATGATTCCACTTAAATTGGAATCAAGTTTAGGTTAATTTTTAGTCCTTATAAAACGAGTGCAATTCTGAGAACTTGAAAATGTTAATAATCTTTTTTTTTCCTTTCTCAGGTGTATCCTCTTTAAGTATTCAGTTTGCCAAACTCCCAAAGGGATTAAAGCATTTAAATTTATCTAAAACCTCATTGTCACCTAAAGGTACAGTATATCTTATTTGTTTTATGTCTGTGATATTTCTGCTACACCATGCTACCTTTCAAAAGTTAGCATTATTACTCAGTTATGTACCTGCATACGTATCGCAGTTCTCTGTTACAAGATAGAGAAATTCTGTAATTGGAGTGCTCGTTGTCTAAGGCGAAATGCTTTCAGAGTAGAGAATCATTTTGAAATACAGTCTTTATAACTTCTTCACTTTCAGCCAGGGAGTGCTGCTTCCTCCGGCCTCACATCCCCAGAGGCAGCTGGTTGTGTTTTCTTGACTCATCCTTGGAAGAACTTCAGCCTTCCCCTCTGCTTCCCCTGCCCCCGCCCCCTTAAAAACCTGCTGTCAGATGGATGGTCTCTCCCCAGTCACACTGTGACTCTGCCCCCTCTCGCCTGCTCTGGAAGTGGCCTTTCCTTTGCCGGGTTCTCTTCTGACCCCACTTACCCTCCTCTCCGGGATCTAGTTGCTCAGCAAATCCTGCCCGTTCTCTTAACGTTTCCACGTTAGCACCCCTGTAATACTCGAAATACTGCTGCAGGCATTGTGCCTTTGTACCTGCTTTGTCTTCTGCTTGCAAAGTCTCTCTCTCTTCCTATACAGGGAAACCTGTCTTTTCCCTCCTTCGTATCTCGTATCTCTCTTTCCCGTTTGCCTCCTTGACTACTCGCACCAAGCACTTCCCTTCTGATGCTTCTGGTCACCGGATGCGTGGAGGTTTTCAGTCACACCAAGCGATTCTCTGTGACGCCAGCTGGGTGACCCACAATTTAACTCAGTTCTGACACTGTCTACCCAGAGGTTGCATCAGAGCCCACACATTAAGGGCTCAGTCCCACAAGATTGCTCCCATTCCCCTCCAGATGCCATTTGCAAGCCTAGGTTATTGGAAGTTCCAGAGACCTCACCTTGGGGTTGATTCATTGACTAGAGCGGCTCACAGAACTCAGGGAAGCACTCGTGTTTACTCGTCTCTTAAAGGATATGATGAAGGACACAGAGGAGCAACCAGGTGAGGTCTGATAGGGTCCTGAGCTAGGAGCGTCTGTGGAGCTGGGGTGCTCCCCCCTCCTGGTGTGGATGTGTTCGCCAGCCTGGAAAGTCCCCAGAACCTGTGCTATTGACATTGTAGGGAGGCTCCCTCAAACTGACGTGATCAATGACTAACTCTGTCTCCAGCGCTCTTCCTGGAGGTGGGAGGTAGAGGAACTTAAAAATTTCAAGCTTCTAATCATGGTTTGGTCACTGTGGGGACCAGCTGCATCCAGGATCCCACCCAGGGTCACCCCATTAGAACAAAAGATGTCCCCAGTGCTCTTATGACTTGGGAAATTCCAAGGGTTTAGGGAGCTCTGTGCCAGGAATAGGGCAGAGACCAATATATGTGTATTTTCTATTCTCTCACACATCACCTTAAATTCTTGGAGAGCTTCAGCTTTTTTTTTTTTTTTTTTTTTTTTTTTAATAAAACACTCATTTGTGATTGTCTCTTCTGAGACATATCCCTCTTCCCGTGACCTCAGTAGAAGTGCTCTTTCCTTTGTGTTACTTCTACAACACACGATTGATCGCATTATTACTTCTGCATCTGACATTACTATATAAATGCTGTGTTCCCCTCCTAGAAAGGGGCTACCCTGTCCCCTCTTATCTCCATGTCTCCGGCGCCTGGCACAGTGCCTGGGCCACGGTCGTGTTTAATGACAGTTTCTTGAATTGAACAATGTGCCATTTCTTTTTTTTAACATATATTTTTTTAATGTTTATTGTTGAGAGAGAGAGAGCACGAGCAGGGGAGGGGCAGAGAGAATGGGACAGAGGATCCGAAGTGGGTTCCACAGTGATAGGACAGAGCCCGACACGGGGCTTGAGCTCACGAACCGTGCGATCATGACCTGAGCCGAAGTTGGACGCTCAACCGACTGAGCCACCCAGGCGCCCCAAAAGACTTGGCATTTCTTAAACGTATCACTGTCTTTCGAGGGCTGTATGCGGAGGGCCTGAGTGTCAGTTCTCAAGCAGGGGGCCCGGGGGGCCTGATTTTTTCACTTAACGTGAACATGTCTTCGCAAGGGCCTGGTTCCTCACTTACGTCATTTGTGAGATGGAATTAAGCGTAGCTACCTCATCAGAGGCGGGGACACCAAGTAGCTAATATACATACAGAGGGCACAGGGGCCTGTACCACCATCATCGGTATCGTCCGCAGCATCTTGCTGTGTCACATGTTTTCACATGCTTTCAACCCCGGTGTCTGCACCCACAGATCTGGTGAATTCCTGCTCCCGCTCAAGATTGAGCTTGTGTCTCACTTTCTCCTTGAAGCCTTCTCTCAGTCACGACCCGCGCAGTCAGATTCTCCTCCCTCTCTGTCCCATAGCCCTTGGCAAATTCCTGTTTTAGCATGTTTCCCACGGTGTGTTGATTGTGTCCTAGCCCGGAGCTTCCGGACGGTCAGGGCTTTGCCTCATGCGTTGCCGTGTCCCTGGAGCTGGGCCATTGCGGGTTCTTACCGCATAGGTCACAGGTAGAGCACTTGGTCCCTTGGTGATGTCCTACCCATGCCGACCATACAGTTACTCTAAGAATGATTTCAAATTGGGCTGGTTTGTGCAAGCCCCATGATTTCACGTGCAGACATTTAGATTTAGGTGCCAAGGTGACTTTTCAAAGGGGAACATTTTTCCAGGAGTCCTTGTTTCCTGTGCCGATGCCTGAAGCTGTCCAGAGATCATCAAGCTGAGTGCGGGCCCACGATGTTACCACTCTCTACTTCTAATCTGTTTCGTAGAAACCTTCTGATGATCATCAACGCACTGTCAGTTTACGGCAGAGACCTAGAAGATCCTGCAAAGCGTGAATAAGAAGGCCACAATTCCTCGCAATGCCGTCACCAAACCATGACGAGACTGTCACTGTTGACAGCTCGGCGCCCATGCTTCCATACTGTTCTGTCTGTACGTAGTTTATCTCTATGCCTACATACAGACGCATGTGCGCATATGGTATTCCACTACACTTACCATTTCATAAACTTTCCTTCCCACCCAGGAGTGTATTGTGATCCGCTGTGACCGCAAACCCTTGATTACTCTCAGGGGCTTCATACCGTTCCAGTGCGTGGAAGACGTTCCCTACTTTACATAAATGATCTGTGACCATACGTTTACTTGGTTTCTAATTCTTCAGTAATGCACACAGTGCTCACGTCACTTCCCTGTGTTATTATCGATCATTTGTTACTTATTTAGGAGAAATTACATAGAACTACTGGATCAAAAAGGGTGTGCATTTTTGTAAAGCTTTCTTTTGATGTTTATTGTCAAGCTGTCCTCTGAGTTATCTGTACCAGTCTCCACGTTCCCGCCGCCACTTGATGCTGTTCTCCTTCATTGTTTGTCAATCGCATCAGCCAAAGTGTTCTGATGCTTTAATTTTGCTTTCTTCTCTTAGTGCTTAGGTGTATTCTCCCCCCCGCCTTAGCCCACCCCCATATCTTAGTCACGTGTCTTTCTTTTGAAGGAAGTTGCTAGTTTCCATCCATCGTTGCCTCTCTGTTTGCCATATTAACCTTTTTTCTTAATTTATGTGAATTCCCTACATGTTAAAAGTATTAATCATTCATCATGTGTCCATAGGTGTCACTTAAAAAAATTTTTTTAAGTTTATTTATTTTGAGAGAGAGAGAGAGAGAGAGCAGGGGAGGGGCAGAGAGAGAGGGAGGATCCCAAGCAGCCTCCGTGAGGTCAGTGTGCAAAGCCCGACGCAGGGCTCAAACCCAATAAACTGTGAGATCATGACCTGAGCCAAAATCCAGAGTCGGACATTTACATGACTAAGCCACCCAGATGCCCCATAACTTTTTAAAATTTATTTATTTTTTGTTGAGGTATAATTGACATATAACATGATACTAGTTTCTGGCGTCCAACGTAATGATTTGATATCTGTATTTATTGTGAAGAAACAATCACCGTAGTAAGTCGAGCTAACGTCTGTCAACACACATAGTTGTATTTTTTTTTCCCCCAGGTGATGGGAACTTTTAAGATTCTACTCTTAGCAGCTTTCAAGTACACAGTACGGTATTAACTATAATCACCATGCTGTGTGGTCTCTTTTTTTAGAATAGAGGTACTTTTAAAAAACAACTTGAATTTATTTATTTTAATGTATGTGTTCATTACTGTGAAACAGATAGGGGGATGTGGAGATCATTTATCGTCCCAAGGACAAGTGTGGGGTCTGGGGTGCCTCCATGCCACCACTCGCTGTGTTCCTATGTCTCAGGCGTCGTGAGAGTGGGTGGGGCCCCGTCCTCTTCCTTGGGGGTGACCTTCCTTCACAAGTAAAGGTCACCACACCATGTTTCTCTCTTCTCTGCAATAAAATGCATGTTTTGAGAATTAATATTGTTTAATGATATTGTGGCCCAGATGATTTTACGCTTCCCTTCCTAAGATGGATATCTTGAAATGCTGGGGATTTTGTTTTTAATGGATTTCTTAAAAGGATTTCATTATTCTTACAGACTTTTCCCATTGTATCTGAAAGGTTTGCAGATTCACAATAACTCAGATTCCTTTGCAGTTTTAATCTTCTGCTGAATTTGACTAACGTTTGTATTTTAATTCTATGAAAACATTTACGTTCCTGGCTCCGTAATTCAAGACAGATTTTTTTTTTTTTTAAATCTCCCCATGACATCCCCACGGTCTCCAAATACCCTTTCTCTTCCTCAGATGTTAGCTCAATGAGAGTTTTCTGGATTTCTAGTAAATGTCCTGCTGGTTGCCAGATTATGTCAAGGCAGGGCCATCTGGTACCACCTTTTCTCCAGCTGTAAACACTCCAATAATAAATACAAAGAACGGTCACAATCACTAGACGGCCAGAATCGAGAACGGCATGTAAATCTGTGTTTAGTTTGGGCTGTAAGAGCCCTGATTGTTTCCATCCTATATTTTTGTAATTTCCTGCTCTTAGTGTGCTTGTTAACACGGGCCTCACGTGGATGTGGCCTCAAGAGGTGGGAGAGGAAGTCCTTCATTCTGTTTTTGGAGCACGAAGCCGAGCGGAGGACGTAATTCTCTCCCGATTCCGTTCAGATGTTGGCCTGCTGCCAAGCACCCGCGCTCATCAAGGAGCGTTTTGCTGTCGAGACTAATTTGACCTTCTGATTTCGGAATTTATTTCTCAAGTTTTGGTATAACCTCCCTCAGGAAGTGGTTTACAAATGGTTTTGTTGACGAGAGAGAGTCTGGTATTCTCCAGGTTACGCCGTTGCGAGGCACGCTAACTCTGCGGAATAGTGCAGACTGAAGGAAGTTGGTCATTTAAAGAATCGTAGGCGTTACCTTCAGAAATTCACCTTCTAGAGTCCATTACAAGTTCCTTTTATCTCGCGTAATTCATCAAATCTCCAGCTTCTTCATTGCCCTGCACCTGTCTCTTAACCTCTTTGATGGTACTGACCTCACCGGATAGTGATTACTTGACTGTGTCTCCCACCGCACTGGCTTCTAGAGGGTAAGATAGGACCCCCTGGGCCTCCGGAGCCCATGCCTGGTCGGCAGTAGGCTTTCGATAAAGTTCTGTGGCAGTGAATAGGTATTTCTTGTGTAGTCTGATGTTTCATGCTGGAATTTATTCCTTTTCCTTCTTGATGGCCTTTGGAAGTTTTTGAGGGTAACGAATGGATCTTATTTATGTTTATTTCCCGATCCCCAGCAGTTATAAATGTTTTATGGGTGCTAAATAAATGTTGAATTGACCGCCAAGAATTTCCCCCCCACCCCCAGGACTTAACTAGGATGTTTTCCCTCCACACCTCTGCGTCTTCTCCCTCTGCGTACCCAAGTGCACCCTCACCCTTGAGAAGTGGCTCACTCGCCTTTATCAGGCATGTCCTGCAGTGGGTTCTTGTAACTACCTAGTCTTACCCAAAAGAGAAGAGAATAACCCCTTCATCAGTACGATGCACCAGGCATTCTAAAGTTAGAGCAGAGGACTGCTCCGGGGTGGGGCTGTATTTGGAACCCTCTGCTTCTTTCTTGGAGCGCCTGGCTGCAGCCTGCCGCTGTGACCAGTTCTGGCTGTCGTTGGAAGACCCCACCCTCGTCCTTTCTCCTGAGGAAGACTCTGTGCGAGGTGGATGAACACCCCCTTCCCTGTCTCCCTGGAGGGTGGTTAAGACAGGCTGGGGTTTTCAAGGAGAATGTTACTGGAAAAAGAATTACAAATGTGCATCCAATTTAGAAATAGCCATATTTCCAAAATACATAGATTGGAACCGTGAACTGTAGAAACGTGAGGAGCTTGGCCGTATCCCATGTCCCCGTTACCTTGAGAATGAGCATCAGTGCTGATGTGTTTGTTGACCTCTTTGAAGCCCAGTGAGCCACCAGACTGTCTGGGCCCCCATTTTGTATGCAGTGGGAACCTCCTAGAGCCTCTCATCCCTCTTGGAGAGAAGCAGCCTGATGAAGAGCTGCCTACTGCAAGGCCAACAGGCCATGACTGTTACCCACACAGAAAAGAACGTGGCTCTGTCCTCACAGAACATTCTTGCCCTCCTTGTGTATTTATTCTTTGTTTTTGGAGGTTGGTAATACCCGTTCGGTTCAGCTCAGTTGACTTTAACTTGAGCCATTTACGTTTCACGTGTAAGCAGTGTATGGAGTGTTAATTATCCATTTTTCTTTCCGCTTCTTTCCTACATTGTATACCAATCATTTTTTTTTGCTCTTTGTAAAAATTCATTTCCCTCTGAATTTTGCCCTGAGTACGTATACGATATATTAGGTAGACCAGTGATCTACATCCAGTGTTAGCTTCTAAGTACTTTAGTTTAGTCCCTGCAGCTGTTTCCAATTTTCCATTTTCTCTCCAGCGGCTTTTGGGGAGGGGGGCTTTTCCCGTATTCTCCCTCTCCCAGTCTCCATCCTCTCTCCACTCACAAAAGCACCTCCCTTCCTGCTCTCTCCCCAAGGTCACTTCTCCGTGCCCTGTACCTGCTGAATTCTGTGGTTCAGGTTGTGCAGACTGTTGTGTTGATCCTCCAGTCAGTTTTCTAGGAGTGTAGGATGGTTTAGTGTTAGTCTGGCTGTATTTCATGGATATGAGACACACAAAAAACTTCCATGCTGTTCTGCCATCTTGGCTTCTCCCTCCCAGCTTCTAAGTACTTTAAATAGGCTGAAGTGCCAAAATATGTACCCACCTCGCTTAAATCCTGTGCGCTAAGTCAGGAACACCTAGCAGAATTAAGAGAAAGATAGAAATGACCAGTCAGACTTGTGTGCATCATATTAAGACTTCAAAGTCAAATCCTTCCCGTCCACATCAGAAGAAGAGCTGAACGAAGCCAATTCTGTCTCTTTCCCCTACTCGGTGAGAGGGCTGTGTCTGTGAATAACCTGTTCTTTCTGAGGGGATGTCAAAAGAAGATACTCCTACCTTTTGGGGACGGTACCTGTGGGTAACCTCAGTCCTGCCATTTGATGTGGCTGCTGGGTCATGTATAGAAACTCCCAAACCTCATTGTGTTCCCTGGAATGGATATTGAGCCTGGATCTTCTCCATGTTGCAGGGGTGAATAGCCTTTCTCAGTTCCTCAGTGCCAACCCGTTGACCGCCACCACCCTCACCCATCTCGACCTCTCAGGGAACGTCCTCCGCGGAGATGACCTCTCGGTAGGTTTTCCTTCCCCACGGGCAGGTTCAAAGACGCTGTATTCCATAAGCCTGGAATAATTTCCAAACATGGCTTTCCTCCCCTTATATAATCTCCCCTTATAACACTTTCACATCATTTAGTTATGAGCTTACGAGCTGTTTTAGAGAAAAATTCCAGAGCCTTCCTTAATTAAGTGTAGTCTAACACAGGTATATTTACCCCCTTCACTTAATGTTGCTGAACTACAAATTCTTTTTGGGTATGCTTTTTCTGACGGACCTCTTTTCTCTTCATTTGAACCATTATTGCGCCTATGAAAGTTGATAAGAGAGATTGGAAATGTAAACTGAATGATTTTGTCATTAGATAATACTGTTGAGACAGGTGAGTTTTTTAATAGTTAGTTGGAGGAGGATATGGGCATAAAGTCCTCTCCTATATTCCACAAACATAGTAGGGTGAGTGGAGAGTCGGCAATAAATTGGGGCCACTTTTTAAGGAAGTTGGAGCGTGCCTTCTTACGTCTCTCATGTGTGGCTTTCCCTGTAAGGCAAGGAAGATTGCCACTGTCCTTTTTGTAGGACTTTTCTCCCCTCTGCCTGATACTCGAAATCATTTTAAGTAATTCTGTTTCCTGGGATGCCGTGACTTTTTTTTTTTTTTAATGTTTCTTTATTTTTGAGAGTGTGAGCCGGGGAGGGACAGAGAGAGACGGGGACAGAGGGTCCGAGGCAGGCTCTGGGCTGACAGCAGCGAGCCCAGCTCGGGGGCTTGAACTCATGAACCGTGAGATCACGACCAGAGCTGAAGCCAGATGCTTAACCAGCTGAGCCACTCACTTGCCTCCCCTGAGGGACCACGGCTTTTTCCATGCGTTGCCCCATTTTAGTTGTCACCTTCAGTGATGATTCGTAAATGTGCTCCTTCCCAAGATGAAACAAGGAGTCCAGTGTGAAACCACTAACACATTACAGTTACAAAGTAGAGGACTAGAGAGAGCAATAAAAGAGAGTCTGAAGATTAAATAATAAGACTCTGCTAACATAGGGGCATTAGTAGTCACTCAAGAGAGCAAAGTAGCTCAGGACTTTTTCTCTGGCCAGGAGTGGGTCTTGTCCCCCAGCTTGCCTCTGGGGAAGAAGTAGAATGATGAGGCCTGGGTGAGTAGGCCTCAGCCCCAGACAGGCTGATGTTCTGGGATCCCTGCAGGAGGTGCAGGGAGGGGCTTACCCAGCCCCGTGCCTTCAGGGCCAGCAGCCTAGCAGGACCTGCCTCTTTGGACGAGTGTTGGCCAAGTAGGGTCTTGTCACCAATGGAGGGTGATTAGAGCTCCCCCAGCCGGTGGCCGGGAGTAAAACCACAGGCAAAGCCTGAGAGAAGCAGAGATCTTTAGGGAAGCGAGAGCAAATTATTTTTCTGAATCAGAACTTCTCATAATGCAGTCTGCTGGGTGTGTGTGTGTGTGTGTGTGTGTGTGTGTGTGTGTGTCTAGTGAAAGTACTTACAGGCTAATCATTTGCTTTTCTGAGTTCCTTGGTAGAGAGGAGTTTTCTCAGGCATCATATAGCCAAGCTGCTGCACTGTGAGTCTTTGCTAAGGACGAGGGCATCTCAGCGTAAGCTTGTTTGTTTTTGCAAGGACCTGGTGACATCCAGTGAGGCACAGGACCGTTAGCTATTTGCCTGGTGTTGGGAGCTTGGACTCGGTTGGTTATCGTGGACTCTGGAAGTTTCTACTCAACACGGGGCGATTAGAGAAGAACAGGGCTCTTAAACTTGTTTGATGGTCTTACACAGGAATAAGGAGAGACTTTAGGCACCGTGACCCCTTGAAAGCTGACGTGTCTTAGCTCTATGTGAGATTAAACCTAAGCGAATAGTGCCGTCAGACCCTTTCTTGTTAGATTTTGGAAGTAACTAAGGATAGAAAAATCACGGTGTTGGACAGAAGAGAGTACAGCCTGAGACCATCTTAGGGTGCAAACTGAAGTTGGTGGATCTTTGAACACTTTCAAAAGTGATTAGCATTTTGATAGGGCGAGTGCTATGCAGGTGATGTTTTAATCTCAGCAGTTACAATTAATTAGCATCGCTCCAAAATGATGAAAATGGAGCTAATCAGGAAAACTAAGTCATGTGTAACAAAAAGGGGGTTGGTGGCCAAGAGTTCCTTTGGCTTTTTTTTTTTTAAACTCAAACGTAATTTTATTTTTAAAAAGTGGGTTTTTTTTGTGTGTTTATTTACTTTTGAGAGAGAGACAGAGACAGAGCATGAGCAGGGGAGGGGCAGAGAGAGAGGGACACACAGAATGGGAAGCAGGCCCCAGGCTCAGAGCTGTCAGCACAGAGCCCGACACAGGGCTCGAACTCACGAGCTGTGAGATCAGGACCAGAGCCGAAGTTGGCCGCCCAACCGACTGAGCCACCCAGGCGCCCCAAACATAATTTTATTTTAAATATTCTTTGCAATACTGCTCTCAGGGAAGGCAATGGAATGACATTAAATTCTGCTAATCCTCTTGGGAAGAGTAGAGAATGGATACGGGAGGATTTGGGCAACTTCATTTTAAAATATTGACTCTGTGTGTGTGTTTCCAGATCCTAATGTGTTTTTTTTTTTTTGTTTGTTTGTTTTTTTATTTCAAGTCCATGTACAATTTTTTGGCCCAGCCAAATGCCATTGCTCACCTGGATTTATCCAATACCGAATGTTCCCTGGACATGGTAATATTTTTTGACATTGCTCTGGTGGTCCCAGAACAGCCATTTGGGCGGGATACAGAGGGCTTTCTCTCTAACAAAATATTCCCCTAGATCTAGAAATACTTGGAACTAAGAGTGCCTTCTTTCTTTTTCAGGTCTGTACAGCTCTTCTCCGAGGATGCCTTCAATATTTAGCTGTGCTCAACCTCTCCAGAGCTGTCTTTTCTCACCGGTATGGGTTTGTACCTCCATCACTGTCACCTAGGACTGCCTTCCTCTCAGAGAAGGTTGTAGCGAGGTGGAAATGGAGGGATGAGGGATGCGTGTTGTGCGTGAAGGAAGGTGACCTTAAACCATCATCTATGAATATGAGCCTTAAAAGTGCAAGTTTTTGTATCTTTTCTCACGGTAGTCTGATGTTCTCGGTGACCCCAGTCTGCCTGTGAGAACTGTCTGATAACTGCTGCTCTTATGTGGACGGGCACTGTCCCTTAATAGAGTACAAACTCTTTAAAAATTTTTTTTAATGTTTATTTTTGAGAGAGAGGGAAAGAGAAGAGTGTGAGCCGGGGAGGGGCAGAGAGCGGCAGAGGCACAGAATCCGAAGCAGGCTCCAGGCTCTGAGTGGTCAGCACAGAGCCCGATGCGGGGCTCGAACTCACAAACTGTGAGGTCATGACCTGAGCCGAAGTCAAACGCTTAACCGACTGAGCCACCCAGGCGTCCACAGTATAAACTCTTTTAGAAGGCACTTCTCAACAATGAACTTGGAAGCAAGTATGAACAACGAGTATAGCCATCCCCAGATGAATGTGTTGGAATTTGTACGAGTGGAGATCTGTGGGTAAAACACAATGAGCCCATTGGCTACAAAGAATATAGTGGTAGCTTTAAGGACTTTGTGAAATGTCTTAGCTTCTCTGACATCACTCCTTTGATGGTGTCGGCTTTGTTTGGCTTTGAGACATTTTGTTTCTTCTTACCTTTGATTTTCTCCCGAAAATATAATGGATTCCCAGGTTATTTCACAGAGTCCCAGTAACCAACGGGGAATTTCGCCAAGCCGGAAGCGGGGTACCAGGCCGGAAGCATCCCTGCTCCTGTGACCCTCCCGTTTTGTTTTTCAGGAAAGGAAAAGAAGTGCCCCCCTCCTTCAAGCAGTTTTTTAGTAGCTCCTTGTCTCTGATGCAGCTGAACCTTTCGGGCACCAAACTGTCTCCTGAGCCCTTAAAGTGAGTGCTTAGTTCATGTTCTCCACAGCTCTTGGTTTTTGGCTTTTGGGTTTTTTTTTTTTCCTTTTCAGGTTTTTATTTAAATCCTAGTTAGTGGGCATACCATGCAGTATTGGGTTCAGGAGTAGGATTCAGTGAGCCATCCTTACATACAACACCCAGTGCTCATCACAGGTGCCCATCCAGCCCATCCCCCACCCGCCTCCCTCCACCAACCCTCACTTTGTTCCCTATAGTTAAGCATCTCTCGTGGTTTGTTTTCCTCTCTCTCTCTCTCTCTCTCTCTCTTTTTTCCCCCATCCCATAGCGTTTCAAGTTGTTTGTTATTATGAATGTGCTTGAGGGAAGGGAAGAAGACACAAAATCCTAAGACAGACAAGGCAGATGAAAATCCCTTTTTCACTTCGGGGCACAAAAAGAAATTACATTCTTTTTGCCTACCTCATGCACTGTTGATATTATTTGCATCTTCTATGAAAAAAAAAAAAATCTTCCTTTGGTTTGTGACCTTGGCAGTTGTCAGTGACTTTCTTACAAGTTGTGTTCCCAGGTACCACTGCCTTTATATTAACCTCTGTTGGGCCCGTTTGATGTATATTCATGTGTGTATATATGTGTTTCAGTTAATATTTATTCTACATATCTCTACTAACCATAGTAACCTCTATACACAGTGTGTATGCAACAGAGTCAGGTTTTAGGTGCTGTGGTTCCTCAATTACCCAGGTCGGTATAGGCTGTCTGTTTCATGTTTTTACTTAGAGGCCATCTTAGGTTATGGGTAATACCCTCGTGGGGGGCCTGGGGGGGTGAAGTTAAACTCTTGAGGTAAAATAAGGTTCGAGGCTAATTTGACATCCTTGAAATCTCTGTTCTGCATTGCCAGCAATTAAGGAAAAGGGCTATGAAATCAAATTCTCTTTGAGCCTAAAGAACATATTTTCAAGTAGTTACGAGTACGTACATTGTCACATATGCTCAAGTGCACGCACAGATTTCTCCTTTTCCCAGCCGGCGTGTCAATGAGCATTTAATTCTTCCCTTGTCATTTGTATGAGATGTTACGATTGATGTCTGCTATTCATCTTACTAGAAAATTAATCTTTTTTTTTTTTTTTAATTTTTTTTTTCAACGTTTTTTTATTTATTTATGGGACAGACAGAGACAGAGCATGAACGGGGAAGGGGCAGAGAGAGAGGGAGACACAGAATCGGAAACAGGCTCCAGGCTCCGAGCCATCAGCCCAGAGCCTGACGCGGGGCTCGAACTCACGGAGCGCGAGATCGTGACCTGGCTGAAGTCGGACGCTTAACCGACTGCGCCACCCAGGCGCCCCACTAGAAAATTAATCTTATATCTAAGTCATAAGGTGCCCTTTTTCTTTTTCTTTTTGAGAGGCGTGAGAGTCCTGGTTGCGGTATCTCACATGGCACCTTAAGACTCAAACAAGGGATGCCCCTAAGAACAGTAGATCTAGGCAAGTGCAAAGACAAAAAACCGACAGTATGGCAGGCCTTTTTTTTTTTTCCACATTGAATTAATATATTAGAGGTCCATAAATGTAAGCCAAAAAAGTCTCACGATGAGGCTCTTTGTGTGGATATTAACAAAACTAGCACGATCAATATTCTAAAGGGGGAACCATTATACTTTACTCACACTCATTTACATATTCATTCCACTGCTATTTATGGAGCATTCACAGTGTCCCAGATGCAAGGAAGGCACTGGGTAGAAAGTGAATCCGGTCGTGATCCTTGCCCGCAGTGTACCAACTGGAGAACCGCTTATTCAAAACCGTTTTGGTGACAGGTGCACAGTATTCTCGTTCTTTCCGTGTTCTTGATCCCTGTGAAATACAGAGTAGCTCTTTGTTGATTAGTGTAATTGATTTTATAGAATATTCCACACCCCAGCCATGGATTTCCTATACCGTTTGTTATAGAGACTTCTAAATATTATATTTCAACGTTAAATTGTAATTGTTAAATCTTGTGACCTGTTGTTATTTATGTGAGCATTTAATCGTGTTCTGTCGGTAGCCTCGTCCACTCTGTGTTTTACTACTGAAAATTTCCGTGTGAGGGAAAAGGCTTCGTGGCTGAAGATTCTGTAGGCAAAATTCTGTACATACATTTAATGTGATGCTGACACTGGGAAAGATAGAACCGAGGTGTTCGGGGTTCCCTGTGAGGGGGCGGAATGGCAGAGAGCTTGCAGAGCGTGACCCTGAACTAGACCCTGAACCGGCTGCTTGAATGTGGGCCGGCACCTGCAGTGTCGATGGCACTTGGGAGACCGTGTTCCGATTCCTGGTTTGCTGCTGAGGAAGCAGAGGCCCAGGAAGCCCAGTAATTTGCCCCGACCTGTCACGGTCGCAGGTCAGGTTTCCAGAGGAGCCGACTTCGGGATGGAACATAGCACGTAGGGGACACAGGCCGGGCCTTTCTGTTCCTGTGCTGACCAGCCTTGGGGTAGTCTACGTCTGGAAGGAGACGTGGCCCCGGGTGAGGCACTTGTCTTCAGTCAAGGCCACCCCTGAGAAGTGACCGCAGAGGGGGTTCTGGGAGGCGCATCACAGAGCCCTCTGTTGCCACCGGCTCCGTACGTTCCTGTCCCTGCCTCGGTCCACTGTGCCAGGAGCGGGGGACGGAGACCCTGGTGTGTTGAAGGACCGGGGGTCAGCAGCCCTAAGAGGCTATGCTACAGGGACGCACCGTTTTCTGAGAGAAGCCCTCCTAGTTAGGACAGAACAGTATTCTGCAGGCGGGTCCCACCATTTGGGGGTTCTTCAGAAGCGACACCCAGAATAGGACTGCTTATGTCCTAGTTGCGCCCTCGCTTGCAGACTGGTCAGCCACGGTGAAGCACTTGGGGCCTTCGATAAGGAATGTGGGGGCGCCCTTCCTCGCGTTTGCTAAAATCTTCAGAATAGCGAGGTTCACGTGCGCCCCAAGCACGCTCCTCGCTCAGAGCGAGGCCTGAGTTCCTACTTAACCGCTCGCGCTTGCACTTCCTTCCCCCTGGTCCCCATGTGTCTGTGCCCTTCTTCACCCCGCATCACATCGTGCCCTTCTCCCATCTCCCTGACTGTGGATTTCTAATAAACCCATTATGTGTGCCCCTGAGAACTCGTAACTAGCACCTCATCTCCAGGGCGGGTGAGGTTAAATACAGATTCCTGTCTTAGCCGGTGTTACACTAACGATGAAGGATTAAAGACGATAACGGTTAAGGCGGTTTTTCCATCCCTGGGTCAAAAGTAATCACACTTCCCGCTGTAGGGTTTTCCCCAGTGCGTGCTGGGCTTTGCCGTTCGTTGTCGAGTTTGGTTTTGTTCAACTGAGGGCAGTTGCTGTTGCTGGTTTGTATTTACCAGTCTTGGGAGCCGTTATGTCCTTCCTCATCACGGCCTTCTGTACTGTAGTTAAGTATCTTAAAGCAGATCATTGGTTCCTCGGCCTTCATCTACATACGGGAAAAGTAGGAAGAATCTCCCTTCCATCTAAGCATTGTAAAACCATAGTGTTCAAATACGTGGCTAGGTTCTAGAAACTTCGCAAACGGTAGAACTCAAAGGGACCTCTTTGGTAATAGGCTGATGCTCCCATTTTGCTGATGCGCACCTGAGACAGGAGAGGACAGGGAGGGACTTGTGATGTCCTTAAAGCCACCCCACTGTCAGTACAGAGGCGGGACCTCTGGACGGGCCATGTGGTTCTAGGTCCCAAGTGCCTTCGGCTGCTCAATACCACCCCCAAGAAGGAAAGAGGGGAAGGCACTTTTTAGGGAAAGAGAGGCTATTTAATAATCGACCAGGAACATGCGTGCAGATATCTGCCCAGCCCCTCTCGTCGGCCCGTGTTTAGAACAAGGGGCTGGTCAACTGGCATCAGGAGAGCAGAAGAAAGGTGCTCCCCTCCAGCCTCCTTCCTGATGGGCTGTTCTCACCGGAAGCTGCTGAACCGGTGGGTTCCATGCACTGCGGTAGCATTGCTCGGTGGATGAGGCCAGAGGGTCACCAGAGAGGGGATCGCAGAGGCTGGGGTGAAAGAGGTGCCTTCCCACCTGGCTCGTGCCCCGGGGTATTTTTGGAGCATACCGGGTGGAGGTCCTTTTCCTGGGAACATTGAGAACAGGTGGATATGCCTGCGGAGCAAATGTCTTGGTCCCAGCCCCTGTCGCTTTCTCCTGTCTGCCTCTTACAGTGATGTGCACACCTGCCCATTTCCCTTGCTGGAGAGCGAGAGGCCTCTGGGGCTCACCTGTGTGTCCCCCAGGGCCAGGTTGAGGCCTTGTGTCCCTTCACTGAGACTTAGGGATGTGTGTGCACGTGGGAAGTTTTTGCATCAGGCCTGTTCGATGTTGTAGGACTGACTTGTGAGAGTAGGGCTGGTGCATTCTCTTAGAGACGAGATCTGCGTGATTCGTCTGGCCTCCTGAGCGTGCGGACGGATAAATCCCTTTTCACAGCGCCCCTGTGATTTGTCCCGAGACCAGCTAGTAGTAGCCGGACAGACAGGCAGGATCCTGGGCCCTCTCCAGACCTGTGCCTCATGTCCAGTGCTCTTCTCACCTCCTGCTGTAGGTGCTTAAAATAAAACCCCTCTCTACAGACGGTAATTTCCCACCCTGGATACCGTGGAGCTTAACTCCCTCATAACCTCTCCCTTAGGGACAAATCAGCAGATGCTTTCCTACTCTACTAACAATTGCCTAATAATTTTCTAAACAATATTAAAGGTGTTCTCAAACAGATGCAGGTGGGAATTGATTTGTGATGAACACAGTTTAACTTCAATGTGCAATTAGGTGTACCGTGGGTGTACGTGCATAGGGATGGTGGGCCTGCCGGACTCGTATTCGTAACGGGCCCGCACCGCGTCCCAAGGAAGAACGTTACAGCATCGTTTCCTCCCTGGGCTTGAGAGGCAGACGTGCAGTCGGCCTTTTTTTTTCTTAATTTTTTTAATGTTTATTTATTTCTGAGACAGAGAGAGACAGAGCATGAGTGGAGGAGGGTCAGAGAGAGGGAGACACAGAGTCCGAAACAGGCTCCAGGCTCTGAGCTGTCAGCACAGAGCCCGATGCGGGGCTCAAACTCACAGACTGCGAGATCATGACCTGAGCCGAAGCCAGACGCTCAACCAACTGAGCCACCCGGGCGCCCCAACAGTCGGCCTTTTCAAAACTGAGATGGTGCTCGGTGCTTGGCGCTTGGCCTGTAACTCAGAACCGTGTCCCTCCTTCTCTGGGCCTTATTCGGCACGTGTACATTTTTTGGTGCAAACCGTGTCTAACTCGCGTCTAACGTGTGTTTTCGTGTTTTCTCCCCTCAGAGCACTGTTGTTGGGCCTGGCTTCCAATCATAACTTGAAGGGGGTCTCCCTTGATCTCAGCAACTGTGAGGTAAGAGCCCATTTAGACTGTGCACTGGAAGAGATTATAATGGCCTCAAAATTGGCTTTGTCTTTTTCCCGGAGAAAGTGCGATACTGTGATTCCTGAAGGTGTAAGTGAAGCAGAGGAACACACGTTATAGATGTTTCCGATGTTTTGTATTTTGCAAGTTTTATTTACAAACAGCCGCGGAACACCATTCAGAAAGCGTTCAAGTGTGTTTTTAACGACTCGGTTGTCTTTTGTTTGTTTTTTATTTATTATTAGTGCCAGTTGCTTAAGTATTTTATGACGAAGCCTTGAGATACAAAAGCCATAAACTAGCTTTACCGTTATGAAAAATGTAACATACGACATCCCTGGCAAGGGACAGACGCGTGTAATGTAACTTGGACTCGGAGAGTGTCCAAGAGAACGGCTGTCGTGTTATTTTTATTTCTTAATATCTTGACTTAAAACAGGACAGTCATTACAGCAGTTCCAAACACTTCCTACCAAAGAACACAAAGACGAATTGCGACTAAAAGCCTCTGCATTTTAGAGAGTGCCTGAGCGTTTTCAGTCTTGAGGCTCTTAGTTTGTGCGGAGATCAGTAAGAAAATGCCCAGGTACAAACTGTGTGGTCCCCTTGGGGCCCAACTTGACCCAGCACATCAGACTTGGTTTCTTCTTGTCTGGGCTGGAGGTGAGGTCCCTTCGTTCCTGTTCTGGGCCCACTGTTCTCTCCTTCTGGCGTGCCGTGTGCCTCTTCTTCCCCGAGGCCTCCCTGTCCGAGGATCTAGCTCAAATCCAGTCTCCTTTATGCCTGCCTCAGGCTCCTAGGGTTCAATCGGAGTTTGGCCTTTACTAGCTCTGCGGTCCCGGATGAGTTAGATGATAGCGTGAAACCTCAGTGTCTGCGTCCGCAAAATGGAGACAAACATCAGTGCCTCTTCCGGTGGCTTGTTATGGGGTTCAAAGGAGCCCTTCTTTGCAAAGTGCTTCCTGGGGCATCTGGGACATACGTGGGTTGTTTGCGCTTGTCGTTTACCTGTCTGTTGAATTTCTCCCCTGAATGCTTCAGCCCTTCGCGATCTTGTTCTCTTCTGATCGTCTGCTGTTTAATCATGGTGACGTGCTTTGGACGCTGACCCATATGGCGTCCTGCATAACTGTTCAGTTAGCGCGTGCGTGCTCTCCCAGTGAGGCTATCACTTCCCGAGGATACTCCTGCGTCCTGTTCATTTTGTGTTTCCCTCAACTCCTAACAAAATGCCAGGTGCCAAGCCAACGCTGAATGTTGCACAGCATGCTGTACCTCTCTGAAAAGTCTAGAAACTGGCAAGGATGAAATGATACCAGGAAAATTGTTAGTGCAGGATTTTTTTTTTTTTTCTAATTCTGAGCTGGTGTGGACACCAACTGTGTACAATTTACTAGTCATTTTGTTTGGGGAAAAAAGAAAAGCCAGAAAGAATAAAAAAACCCCACAAAACCCCTAAAAACCTGCATCGTCAAATTTTAATGTGTAAATCGGTGTTCTTATATTTATAAAGACAGACTATATAATAGAAACCAAGTCTGGTGGTATGAAATCATTGTTCACCAGTACTTTCTTAAGGGATGTGGCAGTAATAAAAAATTTTGTATGGGGGGGGTGGAGAAGAACAGAGATAGGTAGGGCTACGCTATCAAAAGACAAAAAAAGCCAGTGGGTGTCACCTTAATTGCTCTGTTAGCTCACACTACTAAATTAGCAATGACCCAAACGTTTTACTATCCTGATTAAATACGGTGATTGCTATCAATATGCCATCTTCCATTTAATTATCTGATCATCTGGTTCCCATACTTCAAGATGAAGAAACTGAGGTCTAAAGAAGCCGAAATAATCCAGTTAATTAACGGCAGAATCATAATGAAAGTATGCCTGCCCGATTCTTGTTAATTACGTAGGTAATTGTTAGAACATTACGTATGATTAGACCTCTTCTTCTCAAATAAGTTGTTCGGTACCATATGCCCAAAGAACACACCTTGCTCTGTACCTCGTTCTGTAAACTCCATCGTAATCGCACCGGGAATAACTTTCAAAGACGGTTGTATTTGGTGAACCATGGAAAATCAACATTTTTGTAGGTCAAAAATGGCAGACTCTTGGCGATTTTAAAGGGTTCTACCAAATGGCTAGTAGACTTTTCCCTTTATAAGTTTCCTCTTATTGAGCCAGGAATCCAGATCAAGTGATTGCTCTCTGATGGTAGGGCTGGCCATTATGGTGATGACAATTACAACTTCATTTTGGCCACTCGTTTACGGATTATATGATAACAGCAGCAGTGCTGAGATGGGAGCCCTTAAAACTACCGTGGTACCACGATCTCCCACTGTCTTAATCCTTGAATCACAGTCTTGGTGGCCATTTTGATAAAGTCACATGTTATAGTGCTGCTCGTGGAAATTGGTGAAGCACAAAATTATTTTTCTAAATTAAGGTGTCTTATCACATTTTTCTTCTTACAGACAGGTGTCCGAATCTAACGATATTTCACCTTACTCCTCTCCGTGGTCTAGTAAATCTGTCCTGTAAAGGCGTTAGGGGTTATGGTATTATCTGCGTAGAATGCTTGGCAGTTTGGCATTCATTGCTACCCTTTAATTATTTAGTACTTCAGGGTTTATGTAGTGCTCTCAGAAAAAGTTTTTCACCAACTTGGAAGTTTAAAATTATGCACTTCAGACCATGTTTGTGAGTTCAAGCATCACATCGGGCTCTGTGCTGACAGTGTTGAGCCTGCTTGGGATTCTCTCTCTCTTTCTCTCTCTCTCTCTCTCTCTCTGCCTCTCCCCAACTTGCGCATGCTCTTCCTCTCTCTCAAAATAAATGAATAAACTTAAAAAAAAATGACACATGTGTATCTGTTTTCTGTTCATGCCCTCTCTAGCCATAGTGACACAGACCCCTTTACTGTTAGTTAGCATGCCAGTCAAAATCATGCAAGAATCCAGCACTTAATATTCCCTTATGATCAGACAAATTCTCCACCTGTGGTGGTGAGCAGTGAAACTTCTAGCACCGTGCCGTCTTGGAAGTCATTTCCACAGAGATGACTCACTCAAGATGAGGGGCTGATAGACCTGTCTGAGCTGTAATACTAGACAGTTTCTGATGTGGGCACTGAACAAATTCATCATCCCCTGATGATGCCTCTAATGCTACCACCTTCCCAAGCCACGGAAGCAAAGAACAAATACCAAATACCTTGAAGTCGTTGTATATTTACAAGTAAATAATTTTATTGTGAAACAGCTACTTTGCACTGATGAATTTTTTTTTTAATTTTTTTTTCAACGTTTATTTATTTTTTTGGGACAGAGAGAGACAGAGCATGAACGGGGAAGGGGCAGAGAGAGAGGGAGACACAGAACCGGAAACAGGCTCCAGGCTCTGAGCCATTAGCCCAGAGCCTGACGCGGGGCTCGAACTCACGGACTGCGAGATCTTGACCTGGCTGAAGTCGGACGCTTAACCGACTGCGCCACCGAGGCGCCCCTGCACTGATGAATTTTTAAGTGATGTTTGTATGGGTGTTACAGAAAAATAAATGACCATCATGTAAGATGGTGGCTGAGTTTATTGGGAGGAGAGAGGAGAGGAACTTTGAAGTCAGAATTAAAAGCGTCTACACAGACGGGGCTCCTGGGTGGCTCTGTCGGTTAAGTGTCCCACTTCGTCTCACGCCATGATCTCATGGTTTGTGAGTTCGAGCCCCACATCGGGCTCTCTGCTGACAGCTTGGAGCCTGGAGCCTGCTTCGGAATCTGTGTCTCCCTCTCTCTCTGCCCCTCCCCCCACGCATTCTCTGTCTCTCTCTCTCTCTCTCTCTCTCTCAAAAATAAATGTTAAAAAATTTTTTTAAAGTGTCTCTGCAGATGAAAAGGGAATATAGTCTGTGATATCGTAATAACGTTGTACGGTATCAGATGGCGACCACACTTACTATTGTAAGCATTTCACATAGTGGTCGAACCATTATGTCGTATACCTGAAACGAGTATAAAACACTGTGTGTCGACTACACTTGAGTCGTTTTTTAAAAGTGTCTACATAGGGGCGCCTGGGTGGCGCAGTCGGTTAAGCGTCCGACTTCAGCCAGGTCACGATCTCGCGGTCCGCGAGTTCGAGCCCCGCGTCGGGCTCTGGGCTGATGGCTCAGAGCCTGGAGCCTGCTTCCGATTCTGTGACTCCCTCTCTCTCTGCCCCTCCCCCCTTCATGCTCTGTCTCTCTCTGTCCCAAAAATAAATAAACGTTGAAAAAAAAAATTAAAAAAAAAAAGTGTCTACACAGAAAGCTAAGAATAACTTCCGCTTAAGCAAGTGAGGTTTGATTTTACCCCTGCGGGTTCCTACCCTGTTCGTGCTCTTCTTTCCCCGTGGGTTGTCCTTGTGGTTCCTACAGTGTTTCTGTATTTATTGCCCTGAACGAGGCGTTTCACAGTCATCGGTTCGAACGAGAGAGGCGATTTCTACTTACTGCTGTTAAAAATAAAAGCACGTAGGTACTTAGAAATTACAGAGTTGCTTTCCTTCGACACAAACGTTGTCATTTGGAGACAAAAATCCAAAGGTTGAGGCTGTAACCTTTTGCTCTGTGGGGGCTAAGCTAATAAGTACTGAAATTAACCTTTCATTTACAGGTAACTTCTCAACCTACAGAAAAAAAGAAATCTGTGTTTCTTTAGGCGTTACTCTCGAATTATGTTATCAGTCCATTTGGTCTTATCAGTACCAAAAAGGAGTAATCTTTTTCTATCAGAGAGGGAATCCAAGTAGTTAGGGACGACAACAGAGGGTCAAAACAAAGGGTGGGTACTTCGGACTCAAAAAGGTCCCCTTTGATATCTGGCTCAGCCGCTTGTCTTGCCTTCCTTCATTCAGCCTTTGTCTCTCACCTGTGGGATGGAGATTATAATAGTTTGGGGGACAGGGACAGTATTTGGCACAGTGCCTGGCCCGGCCGTGAGCCATTATCTGGGGAGGAAGGGGATTACTATAGCAAAGCCTTATTTTGCATGCCAGAATTTACAGCGTGGGTCAGTATTGCCTTTCTAAGAGGTTTTACTTAGAAGCTTTATAAATATTCTGTCTTTCCTGAAACCTTTTTTGGAGTCGCCTTCAAAGCTATCTCAAAGCTTTCGAGAAGGGTTAGTCTCATCAATTTCTAGTCATACCTGATTTCTGACACAAAACCGTGTCCCCCTCGACGGCCCGACTTGCCTCTGGACGGCCTGCGGCCGACCCCCATTCACTCACTCTCCACGGGTGAGGATTCAGCATCCGTGTGGATGTTCAAAGAAATGTGTTCCATTGCACGCAAGGTCGGTTCCGAAAGAGGTGCTTCAGAACCGCTTTACACGGCAGCAGTGAAACTGGCTTCCGTACGTATTCTCCCCACGTACCTGTCTCCCTGAAAGCCGGTCTGTCTTTCTGGCCTGTGTTGAGAAATCCGACTGCCTCATCGCCCTGCTTCAGAAGAAAGGGTGAGTGCTGGCCGTGAATCCTTCAAGCTTCATCTCCTTCCGAGTGAGAGGGACCAGTGTCCAAGACTTCAGAGGAGACGCGAAGGCTGATTACGATGGCTGTGAATTAGTCGTAGGGCTCGGCGTAGAACTAGCTCTTCCAAGGAGAAACTTTCCTGCACGTTATCCCACAATTCCTGGCAAGATGCTTTGAGGATGCGTTCGAAAAACACGCACTAGATCCTAACATTTGTAATGAGGAGGATACAGCCGCAAGGGAATAGACACTTTGGAGGCAAGGGCATCCAAGCTGACAGCGGTTCACCCAGCTTGGAGGTGACAGGCAGGTTTGCTGTGTGTGTGGCAATCCCTGCACCCCCCCCGCCCCCACCCCCTGCACGGATCCGTTTCCTATCGGGTGGGGTGTGGGCTGCAAAGCAGAAAGTGTCTCAGGGCAGGAAGCATATATGAAACACGCAACTGTTTGCACCTTGGAAATGACTATTTAGATGTATCTTCTTTAGGTTCTAAATTGCCTCTTGGCATCCAACCCCACTTAGCAGAGAGGACATTTCGAACCCGATCTTGTCAAACCACTTTTTGTCCTAGGAGAAAACCTATGCTACGCACAGTTTTACGTGAGAAGATTTCCCAGGCTAAAAATTATTTTTTTAATTGCCACATTGAGACCCCCCCTGTAGAAGAGAAAGTGGTAATTTCGGGGAGGGGTTATTTTATATTGAAATCTGTAATATTTGCTGCATCTTTTTAAATGGCAAGCGATCTTGAGGAAGGGCAATGAATTATTCAAAGTTCTCTCCAGATTTCAGTTGTCCTCACTTCTGTTATGCCCGTCGATGGCTGTTTGGGTATCAGATAGAGCTGTTTGCTTAGAGTAATATCTGAAATGTTCACCTTCCTTGAGTGAGAGGGCACTTCTCTCTTGAAAGAAGCCTGAGTTTATTTTTAACATTTCCAAAAGTATTCTGTGATTCAGTCCCATTTACTCCTCTTTGATCTTGCTTTCTTTTAAATAACGTTAGTGTGTGGGATCCGAATGGGGGTAATTTCAAAATGAGTTTTACGTGCACACATGCAGACACAGCCTCTGATTATGCAAATTCATTTAAAAGGATTTTCATTTACAGTAATAGAAAAGCTTTTACTGTTTTGGGAAAGCTTTCGCTTTGGGGGAGTTTTAGGCGTCTAATAACCCATGAATTCGATCAAATGTTTTTGGTAACTGAAGATCAGTTATACTCTTAAATTTTTGATCTTTGTTTTGGGAGAATTTAGTTGGAAGCGTTTTTCTCTTTTGCTTCTTTACATTGTGTGTTGATAGAGGCTTCAGCTTCTCTGTTGTGCTAACTGCTGATAACATGTTTTTATTTTTTTCTCCTTGGGCTTTCCTTAGCTTGGCCACTGTGTAAGTACTTCATCAATCAATAAATTAGGGTCGGGTGATATATTTGATTGTTTTGAACTATTGGAAAATGTTTTAGGGGTGTATGCTGCAAATATTATCAGTCAAGTTCCAGAAGTAAACAGAATTGAGCACTGAAGTGTCACCTATATTTTCCAGACCCGTAAATGGAATATTTTTACCATACTTTATAATAATAACCAGCAGAGATTTTCTTGTAGAAATTTTACTTCTCAACAGAGACGTGACTAACAGCAAATAATAAAACTGTGCAGACTTAGGCACTTATGTTTATCTTCTCAAAAGCATAATTTTTTTCATGCTCTGAAAATCAAATTATGTTTCTCTGAAGTGTTTGCCTGAAGTACTTTTTTGCTTAAACTTTGACGCAGTCTGAATATACATTCACTTCTTCGAGCATGAACACGCTGTGATCTGGAGCGGTGCTTCTCAAAACTCGTCGTGGTGAAGAGCTTGCTGGTGGTGGTGGTTTTTAAGTTTCCGTGCTATCAGAAACCGATACTTTTGCAACAATGTCGTAAACTCAGAAGCCGATACTTTTGCAACAATGTCGTAAAAATTTAATGTCGAAAAGAGATACGTGAAAAGACAAAAAAATACAAGCCCTCAAGTTTTACCAGTTGATGCAACAGGCCTAAAATTCTTATTACTAAGGTTCCTAAAATATTTGTTGTCAGTTTCTGCCCGCACTTTGCCTAAGACCAGTAGTGAGAACTTTGCAGACTGCCACCGGTCCGGGGACCACACTTTGAGTCGTAGCAGGCTGCTGGGGTCAGCGTAGAGCTGATGTGCTAAAGATGGGCTCGGGGCAGTTGGGTAAGCTCGAGAGCACCTAGGAATGCAGCCGGGGGTAGTGAAATGGGCCTGCTGACCCTTGGCAGTTGCTCTACGCTCTGGGTTCTAAGGCCCTCAGCTGTGGACTTGGTTGGTCTTGGTTTCCCCGGAGTGTGTAGACCAGCCTCCTGGGGAGGTCTGCCTGTCTGTGACGCTCCCCTTTGCAGTTCACGTCAGGCCCCCCAGAGTAATCTGCTGTCACTGTAGAAGGTAGGGAAGGCTGAATTTAAACACCTCGACTGAAATACTTGTGAATGAAGAGGCGATCCCTGAAGTCCGTGCAAAGCTCTGTTTGACACCCAAGTAGCCGGGAAAATTGGCAGGGTTTGTTTCCGGGTACCGTAAGACTCCTGCATCTCAAGTAGTGAAGAAAGGATTCTTTCAATTCTTACCTCAAAACCTGAACGAGTAGCATTTTTGCATTATGGTATAGAAGTTTAGATAAATTTTAATTTTCTTACATCAAGAGAGAAACCACCCTGTCCCCTTGGTATATAGTAGGTTCCCAGTAAAGGATAGTTTCTTTCCCTTATTAAATAGTAAGTTTGCCGAGCAGAGGGGCCACAGCTCGGGAAATCTGCATCCTTTACAAGGTAGTAGGAACTCAAATAGTTGCTAAATGGAACACAAAAGATACTCTGACCTCTAGAAACAGGCTTTTGGTTTTGTCGAAAAGATGCAAATTGAGTTTTATAGGTTGCCTTTCTCTTTAAAATAAATTAGGTAATGATAGGAAAGGAAATTAGTTTTGCTGTAAGCCAACCATAGTAATATTTTACATTAATCTAACATGTTTTTCTTCTATGGCTCAAAGAGTTTATGCAAATCGTTTTGTAATCCCCGTCAGCTGTTTACTTTGCGGTAGACCTCACACCCTTTGTGTTGGGTGACTGGGGACAGGTCCTTCCTGAAGTAGTTGACAGTCAACAAGAGGTGTTCTTCATTGTCTCCTTTGGTGGTTTTGCTGCTGCTTGGTGGAGTTATACCCTGAAATCTGGAACAATCAGACAAAACCGTAACTGTTTCTCAGGTACAAGAAGGATCAGTTAGGTTTCCAAATGTCAGAAATGAAGAAAATTCCTGTGGGTTGACAGAGAGTATGGTCTCCATCTTTCTCTTTCTTTTTCTAGTGATTTCCAGATTTATGTCGTGGGAAACCTTAGCAATGATCAGCGATTGGCTCTTTACCCATTGATGATAGCTATTCTGGAGTTGAGAAGCTTTTTCTTTGGCACTAAGTTTGAGACCATATCTCCATTCATTCATTCATTCATTTATTTTGGGGGTTACGCCTCGAGTTGGTGACTACTTGACCTTGTGTTTGGTTTGTGTTTCTCCAGCTGAGGTCCGCAGGTGCACAAGTGCTAGAAGGCTGCATCGCCGAAATCCACAATATCACCAGCTTAGACATCTCCGATAATGGTAAGCTGGAAACCAGAAAAGACGTGGAAATATTGTTTGAAGTTAGTAAAGGGAAAAGAGAAAGCCCAACCTAGACAACGCCTTGACAAACGTGTTATTTTACTTCTTGACTAATTAATAGGGCTTTTAAATCTAACAAAATTTACTATGGAAGAAATATGTGCCAAAGTCTTCATAAGTTGATACCACGGCCAAAAATGCCAGGCATGTAATAAAACAATTAAAAAGAAATTGTCCTCAGAACATTGATAATGATCTTGATCCAACCTTTTGCATTCATGGTGATAATAAAATTGAGTCCTTGTTTATTTACTCAGGAACTTGTTTATTTAGCTTCATTTCTGCCAATTATAGTGGCTTGTGAGTTTGAACCTGTTAAATTTGCATAGACAGCGGTAGTTAACCTCCCAGCGAACAGGATGTTGGGTCTTCTTTTAGAAAATCATGGGCAGAGAGGAGACTTCCGCTTTCCCATTCCTTGCTGCCTTGACTTAGCCACTGACTGTGTAAGAGATTTAGGTAAGTCTTAGCAGAGAGCGAGTTGATCCCTGTGAAATAATAGGACACGGAAAGGGAGCAGAACGTTCCTTTGAAAAGAAAAAACTAGAATCCCGGGGCCCTCGGGACGGTAGAGAAAGTCACCCAAGTGACCCAAAGTCACCTTTGCTCAGTTGTGTTCCAGCTGAGAATTTATTTATACACACGTGTTTTGATTCTCTGCTTTCTCTCATTCTTTCCAGGTTTAGAATCTGACCTCTCCACCTTAATAGTGTGGCTCAGTAAAAACAGATCAATACAGCACCTGGCGTTAGGCAAAAATTTTAATAATATGAAATCCAAGTAAGAACTTTGATTTTTTTTTTTATATGACAATGATGAAAACAATCAGCCTCCTGAAAGCTTATTTGATTCCACTGTCCATATCTTTAAACTCTTTAGAAATCTGACACCTGTGTTGGACAACTTAGTACAGATGATTCAAGACGAAGAATCGGTGAGTAGTATTTTAAAGACCTTCTGCCGAAAATCTTTTGTTTGTTACCACACTTCCTAATTGTGTCGACGGGGTTAACGCTGCTATACTTTCAGATGATTTTATCTCTATGCACAGTTTCTGTTTTTTAATGAAATAAATACATGTGCTTTAGTATAGTTAGAGAATGTACTTAGAATCGCTTACTCTTCACTTGACCTCATTACTAATTAAAGGAAGATTGTAACTAAAAGATTAAAGGAAGTATAAATTGACTCCTAAGCCTATCTTTTAATAAGACTTACTCCTTCCTCACTTTGGTTAATGCACTAACCTGCGAGCATGACTTTCTTCAATCTAGTGGACTCTATGACCTTATATCATGCTGGGAAACATCATACTGCTAATTTGAATTTCGTCTAGTAATTATGTAGAGTTACAAGAGACTAAGAAAGTTGTTGCCCGTCTTAAATTGCTTCGAGAGCTCTAGTGGTCCTCCTTATCTTTTTATTCCCTTTGGCTGTTCCTGGCCAAGACTTGGTTCGGAGGAAAGAAATGTAATTTTAATTTTCTAGTGTTTTATTTTATTTTTGAGAGAGAGAGAGACAGAGCACGAGTGGGGGAGGGGCAGAGAGAGAGGGAGACACAGAATCTGAAGCAGGCTCCAGGCTGTGAGCAAGCTGTCAGCACAGAGCCCGATGCGGGGCTCAACCCCACGAACTGTGAGATCATGACCTGAACTAAAGTCGGACACTTAAATGACTGAGCCATCCAGGTGCCCAAGAAATTTAATTTTAAATAGCATCCTATTTTGCTGCCTTTTAAAATGTATTAGAAAAAAGAAAAAAAAAAGATATTATATGGACAAAGCAAAAAACACTCTACTATGAATTCCTTTAACTTAAACCGGTGTGTCTTAAGTTTTGTACCTTATATTTTACTGATGCTCTTTAAGATTTGGTCCATGTCTTATTTGAGTCCTATTTGGCCACCAGCCAGCTTTTCATGGTTCCTAAAATCCAAATCGATTTGTATTCCTCCAGTGAAGACTCACATTATTCATGTTTGGTGATAGCGACTTTGTAGGTCGTAAGAGTGATTTCCTATGTGAATCATGTGAGATATGACACATTTTTAGAAAGTGTCATTTTCCCTTTTGAATGCATACAGGGTAGTAGCAAATTCTTTTACGACTGGATGCTGACTTTGTGAGAAAAAGCTGAGGGGGCAGGAGAAGTGAAGCCTGGAACTTTTCTACCTCTCTGCCTGGCTCTAAGCTGGAGGGTGGGAGAAAATTCTGTGGTCCTGCCCCTTTATTGTGTGGATATGATTTCCAACCTAAGGGCTGGAAATGAAACTCATTATTATTTAACGATTTGGAGCACTTTTCTTTGCCCTCATTTGCTAACAGACTCCATATTGTGTCACTTTTATACAGGGCTATTAAAATTAGGGGCATAAATCAGAATTTATGCAGTTAGTTGCGCATGGTTCCCTTTGACTTTCTACCACCCTGCTGTTAGTTTCTGATTTCCCAGTATTGGCCCAGTTTTAAAAGATTGAGGAAGCTAATTCTGCAGAATCACATTTAATATTCACCCCAAATACTTGTTTCTTAGCACGTTTTAGGAAAATTTCTATTTTTTGAAAAACATGTCTTAAAATTTCGTGTTTTTGCTTATCACATGAGGCTCTTTCGTTTCTGTTATTTCCGAAGTCTCTCCCTTAAAAACAATCTTGATATTTAAAACACCCCTCAGAACGTGTTTGCCAGCGGTAAAGTTTGCCATGTCGGTGTGGATCCCGTCAGGTTACGAGTCTGAGAAGTGGGCCGCTAATAATATACAGTGGAAAGCTCCTTATGTTGGTGTCATTGAAGCGTGGGTGGCTTTTTCAAAAGGCAACCACCTTCTGGTTTTTTTCTCCTGAATCGGTAATGTGCACAGTTCAGAACGATTAGGAGCTGAGTCTTAGGACTCTAAAACTTCCGATGCCTGACGCAACCGGGCTTTTTATTTTAGTTTTTAAGATAATTGTGCAGTTATCTCTTGCTTCCTACGTTGTGACCTTGGGCTCCTACAGCCTGTTCTCCGACAGCCCAGGGAACACTCTGTTCACCCTGTGTTGCGTGTTACGTTTGGCTGGAAAACCTAGACGCCCGTGGGTTCCAGTGTCGCCTCGGCTAGAGACAGTGGGTGTCAGGCGACGGAGCCCAGAGCCCGGGGACAGTAACGCTCAGGGGCCCCGACGACAGGGGAGCTTGTTTTGAAGTATTCCACGCCAACTCGTGCCGTAACCGGCCGAAGCGAACGGGCTTCCCCTGGGAGTGCGGGCTGCGAGGAGACAGATTCTCAGGTTAAGCGTGTTCGGCTATGAAAAGAAACAAGAAAATAGTCACGTTACACGCAAGTGCAATAGATCAGGTAAGGGATGACCTTATAAATACGCACGCAATTCAGGCTGTTCTGTTCGTATTAATGACTCTGCCCATTATTTTTAAGTGCTACCTGGGGTGTATTAGAGTTTGAATATAGTCCTGGAATTGGTGCTTGCTAGCTCGAAGACTTGGCAACTTTCCGGTATTAGGAAGAAGCTGCAATATATCATTTTTGTGGTAGTCGCATAGAGACCATTGAAATGATGAGAGATGCGATTACAGCTTTTTATTAAAGGAACACTGCATTTGTTTTCACTTAAAACATTAAGTTTCCCGAGTCTGAAGCATTTTGGTTCAGTTTTTTCCATTTCTTTGAGTGTAAGATCTCAGGAAAACCAAAACAACCTCGCGAAACCTGCCTGAGTCTAACACATGCAGGCTTTCAGGTTTTAATTGCCTTAGCACTGACCATGCCATTAACTTTAAAAAATTGGATCCAAGTTAAAAAAAAATACATCAAATTACTGCATTACCTTTTGATTTTACCATGGCTCTAGTAAGTTTAGAAAACGTGGTCAAATTTGGACAATGAGGACAATCACTACGGTCACTTGGTAAACTGGAGTCAAACGCATAATGCCACTCTGTGGATGTCTGAGTCTCGAAACCATCGGTACCGTCGCCCCGCTTCCTGCAGCCTTGAGACAGATGCACCGTGAACATGTCAGTGGCCAGTGGTTGAGTGGCCACACTGTGTGTGCGGGTCACGCGGACCACCGGGCACATCTTGAGAACGCCGTTCGCATGGGCCACGGTGGAACGTGGGTGACCCTGGAAGTTGTTCCCGGAATCCCACTTTCCCGAAATGTCAGACTTAATGGAGTAAGCTCCTAGAACTGTTTAGTACGGCTGGGCCTGGGTAGACTGCCTTAAGCAACCCAGAAGACATCCACGTCCCCCAGGGAAGTCTGAGATCTGGCTCTCAGGGCCACATTGGTTCAAGCTCTGGAATTTCCACCACTTTATTATTTCAGTCATGGCTGAATTCAGGGCTTGCAAACTCAGATGCCTATGCGGCTAGGGAGGTACCGTAAACAAGAAAAGGGAACTCGGCAGGGAGCCCTCTTCATTGGTTTGGCCTGTCTCTGGACCACGTGGCTTTCAGTCTTCAGCTTAAATGGGCATTGAGTGGGCTAGTTTGGATTCATCATACAGCTTATGCTGATAAAAACGTACAGATGTTTGACTTTTTCTCTGTTTTAAAAAACTTCTGTGTCTTCTGACTGGTACTCATAAAGCTAAGGATGATCGTTGAAAAGATTGAGGATAAGCCACAAGGGGCAACATTGTGTAGGAGCTCAGAGCACAAGTGTGGAACCAGACTTTCTGGTTCTGTTCAGCTGTTTTGTTTTGTTTTTTTTTTAATGTTTATTTATTTTTGAGAGAGCACCAGTGGGAGAGGGGAGAGAGAGGGGGAGACACAGAATCTGAAGCAGGCTGCGGGCTCCGAGCCATCGGCACAGAGCCCGACGCGGGGCTCGAACTCACGGACCGCGAGATCACGACCTGAGCAGAAGTTGATTGAGCCACCCAGCCCTCGTCCAGCTACTTTCTAATGGTGCAGCCTCGGTTGGGCCATTTAACCTTTCTGTGTCTCATTCGGGAAATGGGGATAACAGTGCGGAATATCGAACCCGAAAGTGCTGGGTTGCTGGGAGGATCCTGGGACAGTAGTTAAGGACAGTGCCCGTTCGGTAAATGTCAGCTATTAATAATCTTGGCTGGTTTTTATTTCGCATTTGTTCTCTGCTAGCATTTTAAGATGTCATTTCACCTTGCATAAAAATAAAATGGGTAAAAAGGGATAATGTAGCCGTACGGAAGCTCAGAACTCTTCTCGTACTGTTTTTGCTTCGTCCCACCCCGCACTTCAAAAGAGCTGGCCACTCTGGGTATCTCCGCACGCTTCCCTTAGGAGAGCGGTGGCCACTGTCCAGCCCTGAAACACGAGCCCTCCACGTTTGACTGCAAAGGTCCATTTTATCTCGAACCATCGGGGGCCCATCTGTCAGTGTCTTGTAGCCAGAAGTTTCAACGGGAGACCCTTGGAGTGTGCGTGTTGGGCACCTTCCCCGGGGGCTCTCCGTGAAAGGGGTCACGGAGCGCGGTGGCTGCCTCGATGAGACCGCGTGAGCCCCGCCTGTTGTTCCCTCTCAGCCTCTGCAGTCCCTGTCCCTGGCCGACTCGAAACTCAAGACCGAGGTCACCATCATCATCAATGCCCTGGGAAGCAACACCTCCCTGACCAAGGTGGACATCAGCGGGAACGGAATGGGGGACATGGGAGCAAAGATGCTGGCCAAGGCGCTGCAGATCAACACCAAGCTCAGGTACGCGGGTCTGGTACCCGGCCCCGGGTACGGAGGCTTGCCCTCTGGAGGGCCCTAGAAGGCCCTGGAGAAGATTCTGGCCCTCAAGCACTGGAGAGCTGACTGTGTCCCAGTGGGGGCTGAGTTTCCCATCGGGCCAGCTGGGAAGGAGGAGTAATGACGTCAAGTCTTTTTGTCCTAGTGTAGAGGGAGGAGGAGTGTCCCCACTTTAGACACGGTGAGTCCCACGTACTGTCGTCTCAAAGATTTCCACCGTGACCTGAAACCTGACCTGAAGAGAAATGGTACTGTGTTCTCTTTCGCGTCGGGGTAGACTGCTGTGTGCGCACGGCGGAGCGGTACGGGAGGGCTTTGCAGCCGGTGCCAGTGAGCAGAGCTAGAGAGACCGAAGGAACCGCATGAGGGGCTTCCCTGTACTTGGCCGTGAGCCCAACACGCTGCTTCCCCCTGCCCACCGCTGCCCATATAGAGGCTTAAAAGCCAAGGGATGCAGGAGGTTTGTCGGTTCAAAGGCAAGTTCATGATGGGTGCTAACAATTCTGTTTAGTGGTTTTCCTCCACTTGGAGTGTTTCCCAAGTGTGGCTCTTCTTAAGGACTGGCTGCGTGGTAACCACTTTATTAAGGACCACGGTGCCATCCGTCCTGTGGAGAGATCCAACTGCTACCTAACCCGGCAGTCTGGTTAAGGAAGAGTTCATTCGCAGCGTGCTTCAGGGGCTCTTTCTTGATGTTTCTGGACGCTTCCCTTGCTCTCCTGAATCTTCTGTCTGCACTGAAGGCAGAAGCCAAATACTGCAGCACTTTCTCTGAAGGTCAGGGTGTGTGGAAAGAAGGCCATTGGGGATCAGGAAGGGAAGCAGTTAGAGGTGTGATTCTTGGATCAGACGACTAAACGCTGTTTCACGTGTCCGGGGAATTGACAGACACCAAAATACCTCTGAAGTATTCATATCCTGGAAGTAAAATGGCACTTCTCTTCCAAAATAGATTTTGTGTCTGAAAAGTAAACAACCTCCTATTTGTAGAAACGGAGGCTTTACCAGCAGCATGAGCCCGGTGCTTGGGACGTCAGGGTCATGATGAAAACATAAGACAGGATTCCTGCTAGTCGTTTAGAACGGAAAAAAGTCTCAGTACCTGAAATTCTTTGTTTTGGACGAGAGACTCCTTAACATCTTTTATAAGCAGCTCCAGATGTGAATACTAGAATATTACTACTTGCAGAATATGGGGAGAGTGTCCTAGAAATCAGGTTCTGTAGAGTTTTCTGGTTACAAAGCGTCAGGCAACCTAATGGTATGTTAACGAGTACGCTGTTGCTTTCAAGCATGGTTTTTTCTCACGCTACGTGAGCAGCAAATGAGTTAAGAACGTAATGCGTAATGTTGGAAGAAATGCTCATCCGTGCTCTGCTTACAACTAAGTTGAATGTTATTCCTTGCTTATTGTGCTAAGATATCGAGATAGTGTTGTCTTTAAGTATTCATCTTCACTGCAGAATTATTTCCTCCGTGCCTAAATGTCCGGTCATTTCTGGGATTTGGTTTTCAAACAGGACCGTGATATGGGACAAGAACAACATCACCGCACAAGGCTTTCAGGATATAGCTGTTGCCATGGAAAAGTAAGTGTTAATCGGGCCTTCTTTCTGGAAAAACACAGAGGAACCAGTGGTGTTTGTTTGTTTGTTTGCTTTTGCCGTGGTGTGATAAAAGTAACACTGGACTGGGAATGGGAAGATCCAGGTCTGAGTTAGCCAAATTCCTAACCAGCCACGGAGCTGGGAAAACGTGGACTTTCTCCTGGTGCTCATTTCTTCATGTGTTTAATGAGGCCAGAGACGCACCATCGTGAGGCTTAAACGATTTCACGGTGGAGGGGCCACAGGACAGTCAGCTTGTGTTCTTTTGTGGGTTCATGTTCTATTTCCATCGGGGTTTGCTTTTTTTTTTTTTTTTTTGCCCATTATGACAACTCTGAATCCAGTGAAGAGAAAAAAAGCTAAGGTCCAGAAAATAAAAATGAAATTGGGGTGGGGCGCCTGGATGTCTCCGTTGGTTGAGCGTCCGGCTCAGGTCATTATCTCGTGGTTCATGAGTTCGAGCCCCACGTCGGGCTCTGTGCGGACAGCTCAGAGCCTGGAGCCTGCTTCGGATTCTGTGTCTCCCCCCTTTCTACCCCTCCTCCACTTTCGCTCTGTTTCTCTGTCTCTGTTTTATTTGAAAAGAAATAAACGTTAAAAAAATTTAATAAAAAAAATTTTTTTTAAATGAAATTGAGGAACGGCAGGCTCATTTGTCTCATTACTGTAAAAGGCTTTATTACTGTAGTAACTAAAGTCTGCAATTATTATTAATTGTCAAGTTTGCTTTCCCGGTAAATGAAATGAGGCAATAATACAAAGATGGCTGGAAGAAATTCTAGAAATCTGGTTCTTCCCAAGCTCTTCAGCCCTCATATTATATTCTGAAAGCAGACATGATCAAAGCGGATTTACGGCATTAAAAATGAGAGGTGACAAAACTAGCCCATAAGGAGCTAGTACCATAGAAGCCAGTCCCCTGGGGAAGAGGCGGGGGTCCGCAGTATTCGTGTTTTTTCCCCCTGATTTCCCTTCGTGCAGGAGGCCTCCTAGGTGGGGCTCTCATGGCCGGCATGGTGTCATGGATAAAACCCTGGGCCTGGGGTGAAGAGCCATCCAGTCAGTCGGTGGCTCTGTCATCAACGAGCCAGTCCTGAGCAGAGCATTGCACCTTTCTGATTGATTGTCCTCTGGAAAGTGGGAAAGGCAGAGTCAGTTAGCCCTGCGTGCCTTCCAGTTCTAGATCCCAGGGTCTAGATCCGATTTCGCCCGGAGGTCAGAATTGCCGCCCCCACAGCGTCCCTAAATCCAGATGAGACAGCTTGTCCCACGGCTCCCGGGAGCCCTCCGGGACTGCAGAACCACCTACAATTACTCCTGTTGCACCGCAAAGCCTTCACATGGAAACGTGTATTTACAAATAGCCGCATTTGGGTGCTAACAGCATGGTTGCGGCCCGCGGTAGACTGCCAGCCCACGCTGGTGTTTGTGAGAGGCCAGAAGCACGCACGCCCAGCACCCAGCGTCTCCAGATGATGCAAGGGCTCCCCGGATCACAGTCCCGTACGTCCGCTGTGGTCCAGGATGCGAGTGCCTCAATATCACATTTGGTCTAAATAAAGTTCCCGGGCTCTGGAGCATAATCGCGGCTGGATGAGGGAAAGGAAAATCTTCAAGGCTGCAAAAAAGATGCATTGTCTCTTCGTTTCATTTGGCTAGCTCCTCTTAAACAAAACACAGTCTTGTTAAAACAAAGTTAAGGTAAAAATTGAAGTAATAGAAATAACAGCCTGGTTTTTTTTAATAATTTCTTTTTTTTTTTTTTAGTTTATTTATTTATTTTGAGAGAGACAGAGACCAGGGGAGGCAGAGAGAGAGAGAGAGAGAGAGAGAGAGAATCCCAAGCAGGCTCCACACTGCCAGCACAGAGCCCAACATGGGGCTTGATCTCACAAAGCATGAGATCATGACCGGAGCCGAAATCAAGAGTCGGACGCTTATCCGACCTGGGGGCCACCCAGGCACCCCAGTAACAGCCTTTTTCTTTGCTGGTTCTTTTACGTTAAGCCATCCTAAGTTGGACTGAAGCACATCTTTTCGATCAGATAACAGCCATATAGATGACTGCTGTTAGTAAGATCGTTGCTTATTTTCTCTATTCTTCACGATTACTACCTTATGTTAGTATATTAGTCGGTCATCTGAACATCCGCGGGAATCACATTGTGTTTCGAGACCTGGGACAAGGCAGTTGTGACTGTGCAGTCCCAGTGCTCCGGGAGAACACCCCACTTGTCACCACGTGACCCCAAAGGTCGTTCTTCCTGAGTGTCCTGTAACGGAAGTGGGTAGGCGGCTTTGGGGTGGGAGAGAGGAGGCCTCTCCAGGGCCAGCTTGTGGTCTGGGAGCGGGTACACAGAGCAGCTTGTAGGGGGACCAGGCCCAAGGGTCAGGGTGCAGACTCAGAGGTCAGTGTTGCTTGCTCACACGGTGATGACTCCGTCTTGCACTCCTGTCCCTCTCCGGCTGGTCAGCAGCGGGGGGATAATATGTGGACACAATTTTCCACCAGCGGTTTCATTTGGAGTCGAGAGCCCGGTGGCCGTGGCCGAGTGTGAACCAGACCCCCGGGACCTGCAGAGGTCGGGGAGGGGGGTGGAGCCGGGCGGGAGGTCCTGCGAAGCAGCTTTTCTTTTTTTTTTTTTTTTTTTTAATTTTTTTTTTCAACGTTTATTTATTTTTGGGACAGAGAGAGACAGAGCATGAACGGGGGAGGGGCAGAGAGAGAGGGAGACGCAGAATCGGAAACAGGCTCCAGGCTCTGAGCCATCAGCCCAGAGCCTGACGCGGGGCTCGAACTCACAGACCGCGAGATCGTGACCTGGCTTGAAGTCGGACACTTAACCGACTGCGCCACCCAGGCGCCCCCGAAGCAGCTTTTCTAAGGACAGCTGCTGCTCTCGTTTAAAGGGGCCCAGAGCCCAGTCAGACTATTTTTGTGCCTGCTAATGTCCTTGCTTTGCAAACAGATGCTTTGGTTTCGTTTTGAATTCTTCCTCCGTCGGTTTGGGTCTGGCCGTCACACGTTGTCACTGCGGTGATCCGGGTACGTTCAGAGCCGTTGGTGACGAAAACCCACGTGGCACATTGCTGGCAGACTTATTTCCTGGCCTTCCTCTCCGTCCGTCTTTGCAGTGCCAGGCTGAGAATCAGGTTTTGAAACCAACAGAACCAGATGCCTGGCAGTCATGCGTTTTATAAAACGGTGCCAGCCGACGAGGTTGCCCGTGGGACCGCGCACAGAAGCCTGACCTGTAATCAGGGGCCCTGAGATAGTCTGTGAGCTTAGAATTTTCTAAGACACTCTGTCAGCTGTCTCTGGGTTTTAAAAAGGAGTGCTGAATTAAGGCGGCAGGACGTTATTTGTAAATAAACGTGACTTTCTCCTTTTTCTAGGAACTACACGTTGAGATTTATGCCAATTCCCATGTATGATGCGTCTCAAGCCCTAAAAACAAACCCTGAGAAAACAGAAGAGGCTCTGCAAAAGGTATTGGAGGTTTGATGGCTTAATTGTAATAAATTCGCATTTGAATGGAGTTGGTAGTAATAATTCTGAACATAGGAACGGTACTTTGTGTTTCGCAAAGCTTTTTTTACATTAGCTTGTGTTCTTGCGACTGTAACCGGCGTAATGCATGACTGAGGGAGGAATGACGTAAGACGAAAATTGGTCATGAAATGTAAGTGGACTGACATTCCTACCGCATCAGCAGGCTGGAGCTTATGCACAGAGAACTTGTGCGTCCTCAGAGAACATGTGGAACTGAATGTCAGCTCGTGCAACCTTTATCCTCAGCTGCTGGAACCTTCCCTCCTTATTAAGAATGTAGGATACGAATGAGATCTCTTTTTACCATCTTTGTTTATAAACGTCTCTGATTCCACACACATTCCCGGCTCCTTTCTGGCAACCCCGGAGGATGATGGGCATCTCCGCCTTCCAAGTCCAGCCGTCCCTGGTGCCCGTGACCCCGCCGTCTCTGCCTGCGTGGGGAACTTGCCCTGCGGGTCACTCTCTCGCTGTGCCGTATCCCCATCCTTCTCTTTCTGTGGTTAGGGTCACCTTTCTCGATGTTTAGATATGCTCCAGGATGTCCCATCTGTAGAAGCCTGTATTGTGGTGGTAGATGGGACTCTTGGAAATCTTTTTCCTCCCTCTTTGTCCTCATGGTGGGTGGCACCGTCCAGCCTCCCAAGCTTGACTTTTCTTTCCTGCGTCTGCCGTAAACACGCACGATCATCATATTGACAGATTCTGTAGCACCAGTCTCTTGATTAGCTCTGTTCCCCTCTCTTCCTGTTACGGATGCATGTGTTCAGGCCTCATCATTTCTCAGCAGGATCGCTACCTCCTCTTTCGGTCAAGGAAAGCCACCTTACTCACGACACATGGGAACAGACCAACGTCTCCAGCCCAGCCCTCCCCAGTGGCTTTTAGAATAAAGCCTGCTCTCCTTGAATTGGCATGCAGTTCTGCCCGGGATCTGCCTCCTGTCCTCTGCCACCTTCGTTTCTTACCAGCCCTGCCTCTTCGCTTTGCTCTGCTTCAGGGAACTTGTTAAAGGTACAGACTCGTGGGTCTCAGAAACGAGGGTGGGACTCACCAGCCTGCATTTTTACAAGCTCTCCCGGTGGCTGCAAATCTCAGAATCACTGCTCTGATCTCAGTGATCCGCATGCTTCCCCACTGCTGTGCCTGTCTGTCGAGATTGAAGGCCGGTGTCTGCTCATCGGGAGCACTTCTCAGAGCCTCTTCCTCCTCCGTGTGGGGGGTTCCTCAGAATTTCCCGTGCTTGTCTCTGGCCCTGGCCCTGTGCCGTCATGTAAGTTACCGGCCTCCGTGGTTTTTTTTTCCCTTCCCGGTGACCATGAACTCGTTGAAGGCAGAGCTTATGTATTTTTCATCTTTTTAGATTTTTCAGCAGCTAGCGCAGTGCCTGGCATGCGTGTTGGTTGCTCCTTAGACTCTGTTGAATAAAAGAGAATAAGGTAGGGGGTGGGGGCAGGGAAAGCTGTGATGCGGCCACAGAAATCACCCAAGATTCGTGTTCACAAGCTCTGACTCAATCAAATTCTTTTCAGTTTTGTGACTTCCTTAAGTTACTTACTGTTTCTGAACTTTGGTTTCTTCATCTGTATAAAACATACAGCTAGACAGGAACTATGTTTAGCTGACATTTAACATACAGTTCATGCTGCGTGTCTGACACTGTTATAAATGCTCTCCATAAATTAACACCGGTAAAGTATAAAACAAGTCCATGAGATGGGTTTGCTATAGCCCCATTTTGCACGTAAGAAAACCGAAAGGCAGGATGACCAAATAATTTGCCTGTGGTGCCGACGGGGACCGAGCCAGGTAGCGTACGTGAAAAAGTACTTTATAAACCACAGGGCAACTTCAAAATGGTAGCTGTCTTTATATTTTCCCAGAAGATGTCGGCAGCTTGTAACAAAAGGCCCGTCCTGGAGACACCAGGTTTCTGGCCTGAGACCCGGCAGGCCGGGAGCTTGGCACTCTTCGCTTGCTTGCGCCTTCACAACAAGAAGAAAAGCTGAGCAGACAGGAGATCGGGCACTCGTTCGATCCCTTAGAGAATCGAGGCTGCAAAGTGAACGGTCGCCCCGGAAGCCGGATGGATGGGAAAACAGACCATGTCTGTGACTCCCAGCTGAGGGCAGCTCACCAGGGGCCGAAGGTAACAGAGCCGGGAACTCAGAGGAATGCTTAAACAGCAGCTGAGGGATTGCTGGAGGCCCAGTGTAGACCGGTTGAGAGGTTCACAACTCCTAGGGGCCCAGTCTTAGGCCCTGAACCTCTCACGGGCTTCACCGCTAGGAGCCCCACCAGGTTGTCACAAGAGAGAAATCCCCTCCTGTTTCTGGCAGGGAGAAGGGGGCAGCTTAACCATTTTGAAATCCCCCCCGGAGGGTGCCGTTGTCTGTCACAAAGGCTTACGCTTACCTTCCCTAGCGGAAGACAGTTAGGTACGCCCAGGCCCTCTAGCCTTCCCGTTTCACATAAGGGAAGAAAAAAACATGGCCAAGAAACATTTTGGCAGGTCCCAGCCCAGGGACTTGGACCCACTAAAAGAAACCCTAAATTTAATCATAGGATTACAGAATGATTCCCCTCTCTAACACCTTACCACCACATCAGGTATAGCGACAGAGTGGATTACAACTGAGCAAAGCTGGGAGGCACTCTGTTTAAGAAGCGGTCTCTAGGGAAATCCCCAGACAACTAGGGAGATAAAAACAAGGACATGGGAGGAAATTAAAAGTCTCTTGCACATACAGCTACAGCAGACATGGAGCACAGCCCAGCTTCTAGCCAGATGAACATCAAATAGCACATTAAAAGTCTGATTGCCTCAGTGCCTATTACCACATACATCATATCCAGTTTTGGCCAAAAAGAAAATCACAAGACGTGGTAAAAGGCAAGAAGAAACACAGTATGATGAAGAGGCAGAGCAAACATCAGAACCAGTGTCAATATAAACAGATTTTGGAATTATCAGATCATTGAAAATAACTGACTAGCATGTTGACAGCTGTAATGGAAAGAGTAGGCAGAGAGATAGAGGCTGTAAGAAAAAAACGAAAAGGAAATAACTAGAGATCAAAAACACTGTAACAGAAATGAACAATGCCTTCTACGAGCTCATTAGTGGACAGGACACAGCTAAGGAAAGAATCACGGAGCCTGAAGATATGTAGAAACTTGGCCAAACTGAAAAGCAGAGAGAAAAAAGGAATGGGGGGGAAACACCAGAACAGAATATTCCCGAACTATGGGACAGTTACGTCCGTAGAAGGGGACTGCCAGAGGAAGAAGACGACAAGGGAACAGAAGAAATCATGGAAGTAATAATGGCCGAGAATTTTCCAACATCAGTGATCGGCACGAAACCACAGATCAAGGAATCTCAGAGAACACCAAGGAGGATAAATACCAAAACAATCTACTTATGGGCATGTCACGTTTAAACTGCAAAAAGACCACAGACAAAGAGACAATCTTGAAAGAAGCCAGATAGAGTAGAAAAACACCTCACGTATTGAGAAATAAGGATCAACGTTGTATCAGCCTTGGGTCAGACATCATGCAAACAAGAAGAAAGTGGACTTTGGGGCGCCTCGGTGGCTCAGACGAATGAGCATCCGGCTGTGGTTTGGGTAATGATCTCACAGTTCATGAATTCAAGCCTCACATCGGGCTCGCTGCTGTCAGCACAGAACCCCCTTCAGATCCTCTGTCTCCCCCTCCTGCCCCTCCCCCGCTTGTGCGCGCATGTTCTCTCTCTCTCTCTCAAAAATAAACACTAAAAAAATAAACAATTGTGTGTTTTCTTAAAAGACAAATCGGTATTTATCATTTTTCCCCCTATAATGCTTACTATACTCTTATATATTCACGTTTTCATTTTAACAGAAGTCTGTCCCCTAGAAGAAATATGCTCTTTAATTTTACTCTGCTAAAGAACAATATTGTGATCCTGGAACTCAATCTTTCGAAGTTGGGTTTGGGTTTTTTGTTTTTTGTTTTACTGTAAGATTGCTACATCGAATACAGGTCTTTTTGCCTTTTGTGTCGCTGCTATTTTCAGCTGTTTTCAGCAGTGAGATGAGGCATCAGTAGGCTGTAGACGGTCTTCCGGGTCACTGCTGCCCAGGGGGACTGGCAAACACGATAATGACACTTTGGACCCTACCCCTCCCCCGCCCCCCCACTTGACCTCAGTCAGGCCCTCTGTCCTCAGCCTCTGGGAGGCGGGTTCTCTGTCCTCGGTCTAGAACGTCCGTCGCAGGGAAGGAAGGTTTGCCCTGCTAATCCAAGATGGCGAATACTCTCAGTGGCGATGTGTGTGTGGTTGATATTAAAGTGACTGAAACAGTGTTACTCTTTCTTCTCCTTGTACTGGCTTTTGGAAATGAGCTTTGAATATTATTTTTTCTAAAACAAAATTCCCTTCGAGCTTAGTCTGTGCAGCACCATTGGTGGCCCTAGGGAAGGCCCTGGAAACACATGGGACAGCCTTGGGTGCACGGCTTGTGCGTGAGCTGAGCCTCCTAAATAAACAAGCTGTTCCCACAACCTGCCGCCGGCCAGTGCTTCACGAGGCCACATAAAAAGAACAAATAACAAAGCAAAAGCGTCCAAAGCTGGGTGGCAACGTGTGTGCCTGTCATACTTCAGCCAAGAATCTTGTTTTTTAGCAGAAACATTTGCCATCGATGATCATGTCACCTTGGAAAGAGATGACTCTTTGGGAAGCGGCAAGAGAAAATTAATGTAATAAAATGTCATGGTCTTAATGTGTCACTTTAATGATGTTTCATTTCAGGGATCTTTTCGTTTTTATAATTCCTTCATTTATGTTTAGTAGAAAGGTACATTTTGTTCTGCTTTATGGTTTCCAGGGGTGATGGTAATTATAGTCTGTATTTTAATTGTCCCTAATTGGTATTAAGTAGTAGTCATTTAAGCATATGGAAAATTAAAATGAAAGTGTAATAATACTGAGAGCCTCACAGTTGTTACAAGTTCTTAACCAGGGAACTACAGTGACAAATTAAGAGCCACATGGCTAAGTGTTGTTATTAAAAACACATGAAAACAACAACTGTGAAAAAAACCCAGATGGTGCGATTACCCATCTCCCATCATTCTTTACAGACATCTTCAGAGGTGTCCCTCAGTCCCTGTTGTTCTTGTTCAACTTTGCGTGTTGTTCTTAAACACTTCATTTCAGTCTAGTTATCGTTTGTATGTTTGAATTTTTAACAGGCGATTGTGTATAAAAACACAGCTGGTCAAGCGGCTTCAAGGGTTCTTCTCTTCTGTGGAAATTCATTTTCTTATTTTCTCAACTTGTGCTAAAATCAGTCTCTTTTTTGAGATCATATGAAAACCCCATGGGCTGCTGAAACCGGTGTATGTCTTCGAGTTGTGCCAGCCTGTATCCTTCAAACTTGTGCCTATTTTCTCCTTTTCTTCCTTGAAAATAGTTTTCTCAAGTGCTGGCGCGTTCTGCCACATAAAGGCTGAGAGGTTCGGTGGGTACCATCCACACACCGTGGTGTTATTTCTGTAGCTTTGGAACTGTTGAGTGGTTAAAGACTCGTGAGGGAGAGACCGTGATCGTGTGCGAGAAAGCAGGGAGTCACCGGATGGGGCCTCCAACCGTGTGAGCGCCGAAACCCTCGCCGGTCTCTGTCGGCTACCGAGTCACGTGAAAACACTCCCATTCGCTGCAAGTTGCATTTCGAACTCAGACACTGAGAATGCACAGCCAGTTTTCCGTGTCCTGTGTTGTGTCTGGGGTCAAGGCACAGGCGGCATTGGGAATCCGTGCTGTGGTTTCAAGTTCAGCACCTGGGCTGTTTCGCTTGTAACTTCTCTGTCTGCTGAGTCCACACGTGTTCTTGAGAGGTGCGTGTGCTTGATTTTCAGATAGAAAACTATCTGCTCCGGAATCACGAGACCAGGAAATACCTTCAAGAGCAGGCCTACCGCCTGCAGCAGGGCATTGTCACCAGCACCACGCAGCAGGTAAGAGGACACCGGTTTCTCCTACTCGCCCGTGACAGACATTCAGCGGGGGGCACCGGATTTCTGTCGCTGGAGTCATCCCCAGTGGGACAGTGAGAGCTGGTTTCTGAAAATGATAAGAAACTGAAGTGGAGTGTAGGGGAAGATACAGAGGAAGGAAAATGTAGGCTGATTCCAATGCTAGAAATGCACTTTTAATCGCTGATGATTTTGTGCCTTTTGTCAGTAAGGTGTATTTTGGATTTCCTCTTGGGATTCTGTCTCTCCCTCTCTCTCTGCCCCTTCCCCACTCGCCTGCTCTGTCTGTCTGTCTGTCTCTCTCTCTCAAAATAAATACATTAAAAAAAACCACAAACAAACAGGTGCCAGAGAGACTCAAAAGGCTGTCTTACAAGGGAACTAGAACCATTTCTTAGTGTCCATCCCAATTACTAGAAGCAAATGAGGTGATGTCATCAAAGTTCAGAGGGGGATGTATTTTGGACCATGAACTCTACACCCAGCCGTTCTGTTGAACAGCTTTGAGGACAGAATTAAAATGTATTTGGACATGGACTCAGAAATTTTACCCCCAGTATTCCCTATGCAAAAAAAAAAAAAAAAAAAAAAAAAAGTTCGTTGAGGAAATTCTCCAGTATAACAATAAAAATAAGAGTGCACAAGATGAGGTATAAGGAAGAAACTGCAGCAGAAATGAAATCCCTGAAAGTCACAAAAGCTGAGGGAAAGCTTTGAAAAATTGCCACTTTGGACAATCCACTTGGAGCTGCAGGGTTAAAAGACAGGATTACATTTCTTTCTCTTTGTATTCCATGATTCCATAATTCTGTAAGTGCATTTTAGCAGGTTCAAAATTTTAACATCAACCCAGACAAGAAGGGAAAGCCTAAGTATTGTTACATTAAGAAATGTGAATGCTGGGGGCGCCTGGGTGGCTCGGTTGGTTGAGCGTCCGACGTCAGCTCTAGTCATGATCTTGTGGTTTCTGGGTTCGAGCCCAGCGTCGGGGCTTGCACTCTGTGTGTCTCTCTCTCAAAAATAAATAGACATTAAATTTTTTTTTTAAAAGAAATGTGAATGTTGTAAATCTTAATGTAAGAGTACTGATACTAACTAAAACTGGGAATTGGAGAGAGAGAAAGTTGGGTTGGAATGTAGGTAGGCTGAAATTTTAGTTTTTATTTCATGGAATCAGCCTCTTTTCTATCATTCTTTTTGTTGTTTTAATTGTTTTTGATGTTTGTTTTTGGGAGAGAGGGAGACAGAGCATGAGTTGGGGAGGGGCAGAGAGAGGGGGAGACACAGAATCCGAAGCAGGCTCCAGGCTCTGAGCTGTCAGCACAGAGCCCGACGTGGGGCTCAAACCCACAGACTGTGAGATCATGACCTGAACTGAAGTCGGACACTTACCCTACCGAGCCACCCAGCTGCCCCATCTGTCCTTCTTAAATCAAAAATACAAATAGAGTTAACTCTATTGGAGTTTAGATAGAATAATTAGGAAAATACCAATGTAAGTCTACTATTTAAATTAAAAATGGAAGCCACCAGAAGAGTTTAAGAAGCAGCAGGTTTCCACAAGTGTCTGGGCGGGTGAGAGGGGCTGACTGACAGGCAAAGTAGGTTGTTTGAGACCATTTTGTAATGGTTTGCACTATTTTCTTACCTTGTGCAAATGTCACTTAAAAACATTTTTTTAAGTTTATTTATTTTGAGAGAGACAGAGACAGTGCAAGTGGGGGGAGGGGTAGAGAGAGAGACAGAGGCACAGAATCCCAAGCAGGCTCCGTGACGTCAATGCAGAGCCCGGCACAGGGCTTGAACTCATGAAACTGTGAGATCACGACCTGAGCCGAAACCAAGAGTTGGATGGTTAACCAACAGAGTCACCCAGGCGCCCGTCTTTTTTTTTTTTTTTTTAATGTTTATTTATTTTTAGAGATAGCAGCTGCCATTTTAATTTTTTGCTGTTGCTTTCTCTTAAAAGAGAACGAAAGCAAAGTGTCCATAATAAAAGCATCGTGTATAATATTCCAAGTAGGTGGAATTGTAGGGAAGGTTGCTTAGGTCTGCTTAGAGGTCTATGAAAGCGTGTTCACCAGAATGTTCATGTGGTCTCAGGGAGTGTGATTAGGTGAGTTTTATTCTCTTACATCACAGTGTTCTTTGAAACCTTTACAGTAAACCTACGTTCTTGGTATAAGAAAAAGTAAAGCGATGCGTGTTGAAAAAAAAAGAAAAATAGTAATTATGAATATTGATGGAGTTTTGAGAAAGGAAACAATAATTTGCCTTTACCCATGCCTTAAAAATCTAATTTTTTTTTCCGGCAAGGGACTAATATTAGCTTAGTACTTTATGGTTTACCGTTCCTTCCTGGTTTTAGTGGTGAATATTAAAAGCGACGAGAGCACTAAAATCTTATGTTGAACCTTTGCCTTGGGTTCCTTTATGAGCTGTCTTAACGCAGGCTTTCCTTACTACAATATCCTTCCGACCTCCCCGTCATTCACAGGGGATTTTGCCCTTCCAAATAAATGACTGCAGCAGCCTGTAATGCTGATTCTGAAAAGTAAGTTTCGTCTTCTCAACCTAGAGGAAATTGTACACGGGAGGCGTCATGCAGATGTTTGATTCTGTGTGCGTGGCATCGGTCTGAATTATTTGAGTCGTTATGTTGTAGGTATATTGCCACCTTTTCTTTCTGGGGCTTTCTTAGGACATTATGATTAGCACATTTTGAGACATGATCATCGTTTCGGTCACTTGAGGAGAGACTTACCTCCTTCCTGTTGAAACGTCTTCTCCAAGTTTCCAGAGGTCTGAATACAGAAAGAATAGACCCTCTGTGACGAATGTCCCTGCCGGCCGCGTGGCCAGTCATCATTCCCGGGTGACACGGAAGGGATTAAAATGTTGTCATGAAACCATGGCATCTCATAACTGCTCCGGTCTTTCTTTGTTTAGGAAAGACCCCTACGACACCTCACCCCACCTCCGCTTGCAATCTCTTCTTTTCCTCCTCATAAACTCTCTCTTAATCAGGACTCAGCAGACCTTTTCTGTAAAAAAAAGAAATCAAATAGTTAATATTTTCGGCCTTGCAGCCTGGAAGGTCTCCCTGCATCTACTCAACTCTGCTGTGGGGGAGCAGGACGACCGTGAATGCGGTGGCTCTTCCAATAAAACTTTATTTATAAAAACAGGCCCAGAATTACCGGTAGATTGCCAAAACTCAGCTCTTCTCACTCTTAAAGTTTTCTGACCGTTGGAAAAAAGGGGGGAGGGCAGTTCTATCGCCTACAGCCATTTACTCAAAACAGTCTCTTCCGGCCTCTTATGTATGGTTTTTATACTTCCTTTCTGGACTCCTTTCCTGCTATGTCCCTTTGTAACCTTTCCACACGTGTCCCCATCTGTGTACTGAAATGACCCTCTCAGGGGTCTCGGTCACCGAGTCCCCGAGCTTTTTCTCCCCCTTCATCCGTTGACGAGAGGAGGCAGGATAGTGTAGACCACCCAGATTTAAGGACAGCGTCTGCTTTCCCTGTGGGTGTGAACTGATGTTAGGTACTTAACCCTGTTTAAGCCTTGCTTTCTTCATCTGTGAAATGGGGAGACCATTCTGAAGGTGGTGAGAGTATTCACTGAGATAAAGCTTGCGAAGTACTTGGCTCCCCAGCAGTGAACCGTTCACGTATTTTGCTGCCGTTATTCTTATTGTCACAATGATCGTCGTCACTGTTGGCTGCCTCACCTTTTTCCTAAGACTCGCCGCCCGGTTCATGGACAGTGTGCTGTTTTGCGTATCTTTCTGCCTCTCTTGGTTCTTATCTGTCTCCTTTCTGCAAGACTCTTTACCCTTTCATCTTCCAAATGCAGTCCTTTTTCTACGTTTTGTACTTAGTGCTCATTTCCTTTAGCTCTTTCATCCGCTCTTACCGTTTTAATGCTCTCATCTGTGGAGGACTCCTGGGTCTCTCCCTGTTTCTTTCCAGACAGTCGTATCTTTGCATCCACTTGAGTGGCATCTCTGAGATACAGGGTCACTGAGATGAAACTTGTCCCTTGGAACTCTTGATTTTATCATTTATCTTAGTGGCATCACCATTCACTGAGGATACCACCCTTGGGGTCATCTTGGCTGTCTCCTTTGATGAACCGACCCAGTGGTCGCTGTGCCCACGTGTCTGCCCAGCTGTTCTTTCCTTTCCAATTCCATTGGCAGCTCTTCGGTATTTTATCGGCTCACGCCTGCCTCTTCTTTTGCAAGAACTGTGAGAACTGGTGCGTCCACCCTCTGCGGTCTACAGCCCATGTCCTGTGCCTCAGGCAGGGAAGCTGAGTCCCGAAGAGTGTTACGGGTGAGGATTTTTACACATTCACAGTTGTGGGAGGAGGAGGAGACAGATGCCCCCTGCCTTGTACGCTGTGTTCGGTCTCCTTAGCCTGTGCCTGAGTCTCGCACTATCTTGCCTATCAACTTTCTAGTCTCATCTCCCCCAGTAAAGTGCCTCTGTTCCTAAGCAGGAAACAGGTATCTGGATGTGCCGTTGCTTGTTTTGTCTTTTGCTTAAAATTCCTTTCTGCTTTCTCAATCTGTGCACATCTTTCAGGACCCAGTTGAAAAGCCACCTTCAACCTCAACTAGATGTGATCCCTCCCTTGGCTCAAATCTTGCACAACTTCGTATCCTTCCTCCGTTCACTGAATACGTATTTACGGTCTGTCACGTGGCAGGCACTACTGTAGGAAGTGAAACTTCTGGGCGTGAACAGAATGTGGGTGCCCTTGTACGTAGCCCTTTATGTCTTGTGTTCCTGTTACTTGTGAATATTTTTCCACTTCCAGACTTTTTTTTTTTTAATTTTTAAAAAAAATTTTTTTTCAACGTTTTTATTTATTTTTGGGACAGAGAGAGACAGAGCATGAACGGGGGAGGGGCAGAGAGAGAGGGAGACACAGAATCGGAAACAGGCTCCAGGCTCCGAGCCATCAGCCCAGAGCCTGACGCGGGGCTCGAACTCACGGACTGCGAGATCGTGAGATCGTGACCTGGCTGAAGCCGGACGCTTAACCGACTGCGCCACCCAGGCGCCCCATTCACTTCCAGACTTTTAAGCTGCTTGCTGGCAAAAGACGCATCTCATTCAGGACTGAATCTCTTTCTGTTTTAGGTGTTCAGTGTATTTCTCTTAAATTGAATAAAGAAATTAACACGGAGGGGGATAGAATTTTCTGCAAATACAGTATTTGCTGGGACTGAGAACACTTGTAACAAGTGGAAAGCAGTCAAAGATAGCATTTATTACTAATAGTTCTAAGTCCTGAACTTGGGTTCTACAGCCCAATATATCTGAAAAAGCCTGAATAGTTACCAGAAATATGAGTTCATGGTATGATTCAGCTGCCAGACGAGCCAAGGTGACTTGTGCTACATTAAAGAAGAATACTTTCTATAGTAAGGAAGGAGGCCCCTCCTCCTGTGTCATAGTTTATTCTGCTGAGCGTGTGTATTTCATGGGTGTGTAAATGGAAGCGAAAATTCAGACAAGGGGCCGGGCATGGGCAGAGGGTTGGGGACAGTAAAACTGTCACCATAGTAGAATGGCAGGAGGAACCAGGAACGTGAAGCCTGAAGACAACCAGATTAGGGAAGAAAAGATAGCTGTGTTGAAACATATGCACGACAGTCCCGTAGAAGAGAGTGTGTGATGATCGTTCAGGGTGTTCTCCAGGGCAAGGCACGGGGCCCGTAGGAAGGACACGGGAAGGCGGATTGGGACTCAAAATAAAGGAGACCGTGTCCACGAATGACGGAATCCATTTCCTGAGAAGGAAGTGAGCTTCTCAAATGGCGGTGGTCCACAGCTTTCCCCGGCTGCTTGAGAAGAGAGGAGCACTGGGGTGGTTAAGATGAGAGCCTCGGTGCCGCCATCCATGAGGCCTTCGATGGGCCAACCCAAGGGATGATCGTTTCTCAGCTTCTAGTCTCTATTCTTTTTCACCTTTGTGTACCTTAGACACTTGAATTTGAACTGGTAGTCAAAATCCTTGATTCTAAATTTGCTCTCCGTGTAATCATTCTGTGTCATCTTCTGTAGGTTAACTTTTCTGGGCCTTGAGCTCTTTGGTTGTAAAGCATCTGGACGCGATCTTTGGGCTGTTTGTTCCAAACCTTAGCGCAGATGTGTTCAGAGGACTCTTTGAGACTTGTGAGGTTTTGTGTCTTATTTGAATGGAACTAAGTTTTCATGTTTCCTTTGGACGTAATTTTTAAAGTTCCGCCTAAAGACCGTGGTGTGTTGGGTTCACTGGAAGCTTGTCTCCTTGGCGACTGCCTGGTGGCATACCTTCCAGAAGTTTCTCTGGTCTCCTGATCAGTAAGGACGCCCACCTTTGTAGTGCCTCATCCACGTGCCTCTTGAATTAGTCTTGGGTGGCCTCAGACATATATCACTTCCGTTTTTAGTATGTGGTTTGTCTTGTGAAATCAAGTATTCCTTCTCGGGAAGGTATGAATTATAGATGACCTTCTTTGCCCCGGGAAGCACAGATCAATACAACAGTTGGAAGAGTTAGAATTTACATCAATTAAGAAGATTTTGAAAAATATGTAGTTAGTTCTCTGCAGGGCATCGTGAAAATGCAGAAAGTGAAGATATCACTGCCTGCAGCTTAGATTTTCGTTAGAAGCATTATTCATAGAACCACTTTTTCCTGTGGGGAGTTCCAGATACCTCCCTTCTGTAACCTCGGTATGTTGTATAGTAATGGGAGCGCTTCTTAATGTACATTAATGTTGACATTAGTGACCCTTTGTCAAGGGAGTAGCTGCTTTGAGTGGCGTTATTTTACTGGTTGTCTTCATAATACACCAGAAAGGAAGATGGGGTAGATGTCACGAAGCTGACTTTCTAGAAGAGGAAGGCGGGCGAGATGTAACCAGACCTTAAGTCTTCTGAGCAGCGCAGTGAAGTTTTTATTATGGCAGAACTTATGGGGGAAGGAGAGCCGACGTTGGCTTCCTATAGTTGTTGCAGGAGATCATTGAAAATAGAGCAAGCAGGAATTTAGATAAAAATAATGCTAGATTGTCACCTCTGCCAAATGAGTTACCAGATGGGATGAGACTCTGGATATGTTAGGTCTCTGGGAGAATTAATTCTTTTGTAAGGACACGAAATAGCCTGCAGTTCTGATCAAAATGCTGAAGGAACTTTGCAGACCACGCTGTTTATCTCTTTCTTTAGAATTCTTAGCTCTCTTCATGCTTCCTCTATAAATACAAATACGAACGGACATAACCTTACCCTTCTGTAGTATTTTTTGTCCGCACTAGTGATCTATCACCTCCCTTTGGGTTTCACGTTGAAGTCCATGGAGTAACTGAAAATAGCTCAGATGCAGTTAACCTGGGAGAGAGGCTTCAATGGAATAGAAACTAAACATTATTAACTTCATCGTCGCCTATGTTAATATAATAAACCCTCAACTTGGCTTTTTCGGGGGAGGGGTGACTTTTAATTTATATGGAAAAGTACCTGATAGAATTGAATTAGCTTTAAAAATGTTCATTTCCAGCGATGTTGTGATTCTGTGACATGGAGACCAGCCGGCCCTGGGCACCGTTCTGCAGTCATTTCAACCGTCTCCAAATTGCACACTCTGTGTCTCTGTTTCCTAAGTACCTAGCACTATGTCTGACACAGAGGGTACTCAATAAAAGTTAATGAAGGAGAGTTACTGCCTAGCTAAATGTCACCGGGTACCCATGACATTCTGAATCATCCAGAAGGATGCACTTTTGTTCTACATGTTGCGTTTCCTAAGGCAGGAAAAGGGACTCCAGTCCCTGAGATGTTGTACCGGCGTTAATGTTGCCAAAGGCTCCTTATGTGAACAGATAAATGAGTAAGTGGCTGGAGGCTGCCTCCTCGAATGTTCCGCTCATTCGTTCTGTGTTTCCTTCCGTCGTAACACCGGCTGTGCTGACTTGGGTGCCGGCTGCCATTTTGACCGCATGGAGCAGATGATTGACAGGATATGTGTGAAAGTACAGGACCATCTCAACTCGTTACGAAACTGTGCGGGAGACGCCGTCCAGGAAGATTTAAAATCAGCAGAAAGGCTCATGCGTGATGCCAAGAATTCTAAAACGGTGAGTAGCACGTCAGGCTACGTGAGAAACTTGTGTAATAAAAAGGTTTGTTTTAATTTCAATTTTAGAAACCAGTTCCACCTTTTGTTAATCTTTCTACCCGATTTCGAGGTTATTAACAAGGGGCAGAGTGAACGGAGTTCAGCTTTGCTTCCTCTCTGTGATTCACCCGAATCACCGGCCATCGACACACAGAATAAAAAGTTGAGTAGGATAAAACGTGCAATCAAGCCCTGAATAAATGGGAGGTAGGGTTGTCGTTTAAATGAGGAACAACTCTTTCTTCAGTCATTCTGCTTCCAAGCTGATCACGTGAAACTCCCCTCTGGCACCATAAAGAAAGCTTCTTTCAAAGTAGAATTTGGTTCCCCAAGTGTGACTTGACTAATGGGGTCAGAAAACCTGGGGCCCTGTCCTGGCTCTGCTCTTGGAGTCACACGATCACGGAGTGTTAGGAGTAGGAAGTCCTTGGGCATTCGTACCCCAGATGAGGACATCAAGGGGCACAGAGCTAACGTACTGTTATGGTCTCAAAGCTGGACCCCTGTTTCTAAATCTGTATTAAAGAGCCTTTGATCAAGAATACATGATCTCTAATAATATTTCTTCATCCTTTTTTACTAACTCTGCAATGACTTTGGTGCTTATTTAATTACAGAGAGGTGATTTGTACTTTTATTACAGTTGTTACCAAACTTATACCATGTTGGTGGTGCATCTTGGGCGGGGGCCAGTGGCTCGTTGTCCGGTCCAATTCAAGAGACCCTGGAATCAATGGCTGGAGAAGTCACGAGAGTCGTAGATGAACAACTAAAGGTTTGTGGTTTCTGTGATTTCGGAAAATGAAATCGTTGTGGCCTCGCTATGTATTTCACGCCATAGCTACTGACATTTTCTAGATCTGTGTGTCCGCGTGTGTGCGCGTGCACCTGCCCACACGTGCGTGTGGTAGAGACTGATTGCCGTGCTTTTCTAGCTTCGTTTCTAAGTTTTGGAATAACTTCTTACATCATGAGATCAAGTGAAACCTAGAGGATGCCATTTTATTTTTGGTGGTAAACCTCTAAATGTACTTTACCATCACCACTGATAAGGGAACGATGGATTTCTACGTACGAGGCAGAGAGAGAAGACTGCTTTAGGGAAAAAATTAACTTGTGTGACTACATTTGACTTAGAGAAC